GGCTGCAAGCAACTACTATTAAGTTTGGAGTTACTAGAGAAAAAAAAAATACAGTTATAGAACAAGGAAATGGTTGGCAGAAGGCTTGATAAGTTGTAGGTTGTATGAGACAAGAAAACATGAAGATGGGAGAGAGTTTTGAAGGATTAAAATGTAGGGAAAAAATGAGACTAATAAAATTTTTTAACATGCAGGGACAGATATAGTAAACGAATAAGACTTTGCAGAATGAAGAGTCAAGCAATAAATAAGATCTAAATAGGAATAGGCCCCTTAATTATTTGAAAAAAAAAATTACTTTAAAAAAATGCATGTTTTAAATGTGTATCATGTTTTTAATATTTTATCCCTAATGTTTAAATGTAAAGAAAATTTGTCACCTAGTTTATTTAAATCTTTAAAGTTTCAAACCTAAAAATATATTTTTTGCATCAAATACAACCTCGATGCCTTTTTTTCTGTAAAATGATAAACAAGTTATTTTTCAATTAGCAAGGTTCTTATCTCGAGAACAAAATAGTATTACCAAACTTTCATTTTTCTATTAAACTGAATTATACAATTAATGAATTATAAACAGAAGCTTTAAAAAGCAGCCAGGACCATATAAAATGGCTTAAAGTTTATGTTAATGTTTTAAATCTGATACATTATTATTTTTAACTATAATGATTATCACAACACAGTATTAAAATACTATTCTAATACTAACTTAATTTAATGGTACTGTCTAACGGTTTAGCTCAAAAAAATAAATTAAAAATAATTATCTTTTTTTTTCAAAATTTGACTCAACATTCAGTTAGCAACATAATAAGACTATTTGAATTATAACAAACTAGTAATGTTTCAATAACTTTTAGTTTCAGTAGGGAAAATTGTGTCCATTTTTTGTGATTTCAATAACTTTCAATGATTAAGACTATATAACATGTTAATTTGAAAAATTTAAAAAAAAAAAAGAATTACCTTTAAATTTTATTGATTTCATAAAGCTGTCTTTATTAATTTGTCAGTTTTTAGACCTGACCTGTTAGTTTATGATTTAAAAGATAAACATCTTGCAGAGGTTTAACTATTAAAATCATTTCTAAAAGTACAATGTAGCTTAGCTCAAAATCACTAAAAAGAAATTTTTAAAACATACAATAATTATAAAATAAAAAGCCTAATATTTAATAGCACTATTTTGTATAAAAAATAACATTTGTTGCCTCCGTTAAAATGTATTAGCCTCATTAAAATAAGCTAAAACATATTTGTAGGGAAACTTGAGCAAATACCTGTTAATTACTAACATTAAGTAAGTTGCAGATCTCATCTAAAAAATTGAAAAACTGTATTATTCTTGAATACCATTTTTTGATGTTTAGTGATGCTAAAGGTAGATCTCCTAATGAAGCAATTTTTTATGTTTCTTGCTTATATTTCTTGCTAATTAAGATACAACTATTATTACAATAACTTGCTAAATAAAAAAATAAAAAAATAAATACAAATTGCTAAATAAGATATAAATAGTGCAAATTGCTAAATAAGATACTAAGTCTAGATAATTAAAATAAAGTAAAGTATATATATATATATATATATATATATATATATATATATATATATATATATATATATATATATATACATATATATATATATATATATATATATATATATATATATATATATATATATATATATACATATATGTATATACATATATGTATATATATATATATGTATATACATACATATATGTATATACATATATGTATATATATATATATATATATATACATATATATATATATATATATATATATATATATATATATATATATATATATATATATATATATATATATATATATATATATATATAACGCTATATATATATATATATATATATATATATATATATATAACGCTATATATATATATATATATATATATAATATATATATATATATATATAACGCTATATATATATATATATATATATATATATATATATATATATATATATATATATATATATATATATATATATATATATATAACGCTAACAGTATAAGTCATTAACGCTAACAGTCAAGGCACTTTTGTTTTACTTATTGATGCGGCAAAATATAATAGCAAAAATTTTACTTGTTAATGCGGCAAAATAAAAAAAATACGGTAAGCGAAAACATCGACCTACTTTGGAGTTATGTTAACGTCTGCTAACCGCTTTTGTTAACATTGCCAAGCTCGCGGAAGCCTCTTTTAAACAGGTCAGTCAAAACTCAGCCTTTATAGTATTGTTTAAAAACGAAAGCAATTAGAGAACTTAGCAGGCTCCTACGCGAAAAAGTCATTAAAATTTTACGCTGAGTTTTAAATTTTTTTTCTGTTTTCAAACTCAGCGGTTAAGTTAACAACGAGTCTGGATTATATCATGCCAACTTCACTATCCAGCTTTATGAAGACGATCGCTTGGCTGGAACTGAAAAGATTCATAGTTGCGCGACTATTTCTGGTAAAACTATAAAAAGAGTTGTACTTACCCAGTCGCTGATACGTTTAGCTTGGGGAAGACGCATGACCATTAGCTCTCATTGCGTTGTGAGCTTACAATTGATGGGTTTGGAGAATTACCGGAAGGTTCACACAAAGTAGGGTCCTAGGATGTTACAAATATAAAAATAACACGACGAGAGTAACACAGCCAACGCTTGAGGTTCCTGCTGGTCACTTTTTAATATCTGGGCATGAAATTTCTAGACTAGAGTTTTATAGACAAGATAGTTGTATGTAAAGTCTGCTTCTTGAAACTTGGTATGATCGTTTAAAATCATATCAAAATGATCTAACTTTGGAAAATTTTTAAAGAAGCGCAACCGGTCTTGAACTTGCTGATGGAGAGTCGGCAGGGGCTAAAAATATAAAAATAATACGACGAGGAGTAACACTGTTAACAGGAATATAACCGGTGGACCAAGATATATTGCTGTTAAATAAGGTGTAAAATGATTAACTAAGGGATACCTACCTGTTGGTTGACTTGTGCTCTACAGAGTGAGACGACGGATTCAGATTACTGTTATGGCTCTAGTAATGCTAATAATCTCCGCTCGTATTAGTACCTGTTACAATTCCAATATCTTAATGAATAATATTTTTTTAAAGCTATACAACGATTTAATTTTTCGCGAACTTACTGATGCATTTTGGTACTTTTAAAACATTATGTTACTTCTAAAACTATTTTTATTTTTATTTATTTACAATAATGAAACACAACAATTTAAAATATTTTATCAAAAAATTTATTTGAAATAAAATAATTATTAACTGAGGTATAAAGCTTCAGACAATTTTTATAACATGGACCCTGACACTATATTACCTTAACCCTATTTTCCAGATGTTATTCACCTAGAATCACATAGGATTGACAACTTAGTATCTTGGCTTTTTTTTATTTTTTATCAGTTTAAATTACTTTAATTCTGCATATAGTAAATTAAAAGTTTTTAAAATCGTATAAACTCATCGAGGTTAAACTCACCGAGGTTAAACTCACCGAGGTTAGATTAAATAAATTTCGCTTAATCATGCAATTTTTCACAGTTTTATCTCTTTAAATAAGAACGTTAAATATAAAGTCTGACGAAATCTTTACTTTGAGGAAATGTAAAGTAAGTTTAATCGTAAGTTACATAAATATTTATAGTTAAATATATATAATTAAGAGTAAATATAAAAATAAATATATATAATTAAAAAAAATTAATATATATATAAATAGTAATATTAGATTTATCCTTAGGCGGCCGCGTATAAAGCTGTACTAAAGATCCGCCACTGAATTGATATTACTTTTCAAATTTAATACAAAATAAGTTTATTCTTTGATTAAATTCTTTAAAAGGAAACTTTTCTATTGAAATGATAACATCGGGTCATTGAGCTTTTATAAAAAATATATAAAAAAAAAAATTCATAGATTATGTCGCACCTAGATTTATTACATCACTTAATAGCCCGTTATGTTACATCACATTCACGTTCATACTGATCATGTTTTATTTGCAACGCGTATTAAATAGTTATTTTATTTGTTATGCTTGTTTTTGTATAAAAACAACAATAAATCGAAATGACAGAACGGTTTTATATATATAAACTCAAACCTTTTATAATAACAAAACAACTTTGCAAAATTGTCTTATAAAGCTTTTCAAATTTTTTTGTCAGTATGAACATAGTCATTGCAAAAGTTATACAATTTAATGCTTCTTAGAAGTTCCATATAAAGCTTAAACTTTTGAATAGAAGCCTTCTATTCAAAAGTCTAAGCTTTATATGGAGCTATTAATTATTCAAATGCAAAATGTTAAAAAAAAAATCTCAATCATTTAATCTTAATAACGCTGTATTGTATAACCTGTTCTTTATTTTATCTTTTGTTAATAGCTGGATATTTTATTTTTTATTTAATACAGAGTAACATATGCAGTTGTATATATATATATATATATATATATATATATATATATATATATATATATATATATATATATATATATATATATATATATATATATATATATATATATATATATATATATATATATATATATATATATATATAATATATATATATATATATATTTGTATTTTTTTTATATATTTATATAGGCATATTTTAGGTCAACGGAAAGTTGTTAAATAAATTATTCTGTGCTCTGAATACAGAAGACAATTTCTAAAGCTGTTAAGTTTTCAGGTAAAAACCTAATATCACCCCATAATACTGTTAAGAATACTGATAAATATTGTTGTCAGTTATTTACATCCGGTAGTTTAATAAAATATATCTAATTATTTTATCCTTGTTTTAATTGTTATTTGTTTGGTTTTTTCAATTAATGTTTATCATATCTAGATAAAAAAATTATTTTTGAACTCGTTCACACTTTATTTGTCTTAATATTAATTTTTAGGCACAATGCAATCTTCCTTCCCCAAGTTTTTATGGTGACATTTTTTAAATTTTGAAACCCTGCTTATTATGATTCAGCTACCCTCTAATTATTAGTTTTTACTTGCTCTCAACACAAAAACTTCATCTCATAATTAAAGAAAATTTTCATTGTAAACCGCCTTTTAAAATTAGAAATATAAACTCACTATAAAAACAAAAGTTTTTTAGGATAAACAGGCTTTAAAAATTGTTGACCTATAAAAAAGAGTCTTATAAAACTCGATTTATTCATGAATTTTTGGATATTTTACAAAGTACATAACATTGCTCACCATAGTATGAAACTTATTTAAGCATATTGAATACTATTAAAGTTATGATAAACATAAAGCATTGTGTTAGATCATAAATAAAGTGGAGCATTGCAGTGATGTAATAATGATGCAATCAGGAATGCTTTTGAGGATGTGGTTTGTATATGGATCATGTTTATATTTTGTTTTTAAAGTTGATAATAAAATCTGTCCTTTATTTCCTTCTGGGAAATCTTGTTTCTTTGTTGGGAAAATTTATCCTCCCTTTGTTTATTAGAAATCAAGAAGCCCCTTTTTACAAGATACTCACACATTTCATTTGAAGACAAAATCTATCAATACCATCCCCCATATATTAGATTTATAAAAAAATACTATTTTATTAAGTCCTGGTTAAGCTACTTATAATTCATGTTTAAAAAAAAATTGTAAAAATATTATAAAAGTTCTAAAATATCAAATAAATTTTCAAATTTTATGAAATAAACCTGTTATTTAGTCTTAAATTTCAAACTAATTCCAAATGTCGAATTTACAATATAAAAAATGAAGTTACACTAATTTTAGCATCTAATGGCCACTTTTTGGCAACATGCGCACTGTAGATTGCTACCTTAGCTCTACCTAATCTTACTTCACTCAATAACAAAATGAGAATAAATTTTATGTTGTATTTTTGAAGCTTTTTTTTACTGAAGAAAATGTCATTAAAGTATTTGGCACTTATTTCATCAATACGTGAAAGTCGTTTAGCAGATCGTATGTTATCTCTTTTGCAAACAAAGTTTGATGCTGTTTTAGCTCCAAGAGGACACAGTCTTCAAGTATTAGGTACAAATAATAGGTTCTTGCTATTATATGATTCATTTTAAAAAATTGTTTTTCTTGTATTTTATTATATCTATATCTTAATCTATATATTTTTTCACTTTTAAAATTTTGATTTTAGGAGGCATTAAACTAAACTTTTTCATTCAACTGAATATGAACTATTTAACTGAATTTGTACTATTTAACTGAATATGTACTATTTAACTAATTTGACATATTTTAACTAACTTGACATATTTAACTTATTTTAACTAATTTGACATATTTAATTGAATATGAACTATTTAACTGAATTTGTACTATTTAACTGAATATGTACTATTTAACTAATTTGACATATTTTAACTAACTTGACATATTTAACTTATTTTAACTAATTTGACATATTTAACTGAATATGTACTATTTAACTGAATTTGTACTATTTAACTGAATATGTACTATTTAACTAATTTGACATATTTTTTATTTTTTATTTTTTATATATTACTTTAATACTTAATTAAACTTCTAATATATAATTAATAGATCCAAGGGTATACGATTTACCATTACTGAAAAAGCCACTTCATTTCTATGGGAACAAAGAGCAACATATTATTCCAGAAAATTTGATTAGGTTAAATGAGCTAGTTAAAGCTGCTGATGTTTATGTTGTTCTGTTGACTGAGTATAACAGATGTGCACCTCCTGCATTATACAACACTCTGGATCATTTGCCGCCAGCTAGGTAATATATAATTTAGAGATTTCCATTACATAAATATATTCAAAAGAAACTGTTTGAACATATTTATGTAATGGATATTATTATAAATAATATTATATTGGTCATATTTTGTTCTATTAATAATACAACACATTTAGGAAGCATATGGTCACTAGAAATTAAATTGAAAAAGAAAATAATATTAATATTTTAGGGAATAAACGTCATTAAAAAATATTATTCTTTTTTTTTTCAATTCTATCTAATTATTTTGAATTTTCCTTTGTTGAAAACTTTATTAGTTTGACATATGTCAAACTTCCTAATAAAATTTTCCAGAAATATTCATAATTTAAAACATTACCTTCCTTCACAATTAACTTTAGTTTTTGATTTAAACTTTTTTATTTGAAATCATTAAAAAAAAAAAAAAAGCTGTTGATATCCATCTCTTACAGAATCACTACACCTGGAGCTGAATTTACTCCTAATTAAATAAAAAAGTTGAAAGTTCCACAAAAAAATATATTGTTATATTTTTAAAATTTTTTCACCTGAAAAGTTTTAATAAACTTTTTGGTTGACAATCTATTAAGCTTCGTGTTGAAAATATTGATTTGAGTTTAGATTTTCAGTTATCAGACTTTTAAGTTACAATTATCAGAGGTTTGAGTTTCAGCCTAAAATTTTGTCAACAAATGACATTGTGTAAATATTTTGGCTAACACAGCACTCTTACTTAAAACACCACCCACAGCACACCTACTTGATCATTATTTTTACTTAAGTTCATTTATTTAAGTGTTGCATTCATTTTAATTGCTATCTTTATGTCAAAAATAAAACAAAAATGCTTTTTGTATTTCTAATATTATTTCAATGCAAATTATTTTCAACTTTAAGTTTTGCATACAAGTCGAGTGGAATCTTTGGATATTCTATGGGACCATCAGGTGCTTCATTTGCTACAGCATCTGTGCGACCTTTGTTAACTGAAATGGGTTGTTTACCTGTCAAACATAGTGTTCAAGTTCCATTAGTAAGTTTTTAAATTTTGTATTTTCAATAATAAAATGAAATAAAAAATATCTTTTTATAAAAAATAATGAAAAAATCTGTTTGTGGTTTGTAAGCTATAATTTTCTGTGATATATATGTAATATAGGCACACACAGTTGTTAATGATGATGGTAGTTGTACCAATCCTCTTGTACTAAAAAGTATTGATGAATTATTTGCGCAAACTGAATGGTGGGGAAAACAGGCTAAAGAAGGAAGAGCAAAAGGGTTACCATCTTTTTAAAATATTACAAAATATAAAAATGTTATAAAATATAAAGTATTTTTATACAAAAGGTTTTTTCAAAGTATAGTTTTATTTATCTTAAGTTGTTATTGCACATGTTAGTTATTGTTACTTAGTAACTTGATAAAAAATATTAAAAAAGTATTTTTGTAATTATTTATGATAGACTAGTTTATGAAATATAAAATTTTTGAAATTGTTTGTGATATGAATCATGATATAAAATTCTTTTTTTACAATTGTTTTTAAATTTTCAATATAATTAATACTTAATAAAAAAAAAATAATAAATAGTATATAACTTATATACATTATTTATTATTATTAATAGTATATAACTTATATACATTATTTATTATAATACATTATATAGTTATTTACATTTAAAAAGTGCAGTTATAAACAATTTCTAATCATACTAAATTTAAGTCAAAAATTCATGTAAACATAATCTGCTAAAGAAAGCCTCAGTAGTAATAAAGAAAATAATGAAATCTGCATTACATAAAAATCTTTAATCCAAATTTCTGGAGATATTTTCATGAGAGCCTAATACACACCACACCACGCACAATACACACCAGTTTTTTAAACACCACACAATAAACTTACAACCAGAGGGTTTGCAGACTAGAATGTTTTTGTTGGAACATTACAACCAGGGTTTACAAACTAGAATGTTTTTGTTGGGAATGTTCCTTAGACAAAACAAAATAAGGAATTAGCAGCATCATACAAGTTCATATAAAGATGAATTGGAAAACTTTGTTGTTGTTAAGAAATAAAGACTTTCACGGATCCAATGGAATGATAATAATTTTATCAAAATATTTAATAGAAAAGTAAGATTTCTATTGGAGTAACATGATGTTGTATTTCCAATATACTTTTAATATGCATTTAGAGATGGTTTTCATTGATAAAAAAATATGACAGTTTGGTAACTAATGTCTTTGTTCATGAGAAAAAATTCACTGAAAAGAATTAATTATGATTTTGTAATTTTATAGCAGTTTTTTAATATATGCTTGATTATAAGGGTATCTATATTTCTATGGTTGTAAATATATACATTGTTGTAAATATATATATTTTTTATTTTTATATTAAACTGTTTTGAAAATTTTAAGTTTTAAGTTCATATAAATATTTAATAATATGTTGATAAATGTATTTGTTATAGTGGTGATTTATATCATTTATTTACTGTTTATTTATATCCATTATTTGTTATTTATATCTATATATTTATTTTATTATATATTTAAATAAAAAAATTAAAAAAAAAAATTCAAATAACATTTTTTTGTAAAAAAAAAAATTTAGTTAAGTATTAAAAATGCCTCTCCAATTTTTGGCAATAATTTCATCTGTAAGAGAAAATAGATTGGCTGATAATATGGTTGCTCTTTTAAAGAAGCAATTTGAAAAGGAGATGGCACCCAGTGGTCATGTTCTTAAATTTTTAGGTATCTCTTAAATATTATTTTATATATTTAAGTTTCTATTTTAATTTTTTTTTATGTTTAACAAGATTCTATAGAACATTACTACAGCACATTGAGCATATAGAACATTATTACAGCACACAAACAACATAACTACAGCACACTGATATAGTTACTTTACCTGCTGTAGACACCTGTTGTAAAAAAGTTATTTTAACATTAATTTTTTTTGCAAATGAAATGTTAATAAAAAAGTTGTTTCTCTTTATATCATTTAAGTTTAACTGTTATTTCATTTTTATAGAATCATTTCATCCATATTTGTCTATATTTTTACACATTTTAAGACCTATTTTAAACTTTATGTATATATTTTTAACCAACATATTTAAAACCTGTCATAATCATGTTTTAATTCACTCATTGCATTTAGTTAAAAATTTATGCAATGAGTACATTGATACCAAAATACTTTTTTATAATTATTATGTTTCACCATTAAATTAGGTGTAAATTAATTTAAATATTTATAATTTTTTTAAATTTTATTAAATAATTTTTATATAGTTTATTTAAATAATTATATAATTTATTTAATATTATAATTATTTAAATGTTAGATCCCGAAGATTATGATTTGCCTCTTCTTAAAAAGCCATTGCATTTTTATGGTCCTGATGAAAAATCTCAAATTCCTGACAAGTTACTAAGTTTGAATGAGCTTGTGAAAGCAGCTGATGTTTATATCGTCCTTGTTCCTGAATATAATAGATGTGCTCCTCCTGCTTTGTACAACACCTTGGATCATTTACCGCCATCAAGGTAATTTACCATCATCCAGTTAATTTACCACCATCCAGTTAATTTACCACCATCCAGTTAATTTACCATCATCCAGTTAATTTACCACCATCCAGTTAATTTACCACCATCCAGTTAATTTACCACCATCCAGTTAATTTACCACCATCCAGTTAATTTACCACCATCCAGTTAATTTACCACCATCCAGTTAATTTACCACCATCCAATTAATTTACCACCATCCAATTAATTTACCACCATCCAATTAATTTACCACCATCCAATTAATTTACCACCATCCAGTTAATTTACCACCATCCAATTAATTTACCACCATCCAATTAATTTACCACCATCCAGTTAATTTACCACCATCCAATTAATTTACCACCATCCAGTTAATTTACCACCATCCAGTTAATTTACCACCATCCAGTTAATTTACCACCATCCAATTAATTTACCACCATCCAATTAATTTACCACCATCCAATTAATTTACCACCATCCAGTTAATTTACCACCATCCAATTAATTTACCACCATCCAGTTAATTTACCACCATCCAGTTAATTTACCACCATCCAATTAATTTACCACCATCCAATTAATTTACCACCATCCAGTTAATTTACCACCATCCAATTAATTTACCACCATCCAATTAATTTACCACCATCCAATTAATTTACCACCATCCAGTTAATTTACCACCATCCAGTTAATTTACCACCATCCAATTAATTTACCACCATCCAGTTAATTTACCACCATCCAATTAATTTACCACCATCCAATTAATTTACCACCATCCAGTTAATTTACCACCATCCAATTAATTTACCACCATCCAGTTAATTTACCACCATCCAGTTAATTTACCACCATCCAATTAATTTACCACCATCCAGTTAATTTACCACCATCCAGTTAATTTACCACCATCCAGTTAATTTACCACCATCCAATTAATTTACCACCATCCAGTTAATTTACCACCATTCAATTAATTTACCACCATCCAATTAATTTACCACCATCCAGTTAATTTACCACCATCCAGTTAATTTACCACCATCCAATTAATTTACCACCATCCAGTTAATTTACCACCATCCAATTAATTTACCACCATCCAATTAATTTACCACCATCCAGTTAATTTACCACCATCCAATTAATTTACCACCATCCAATTAATTTACCACCATCCAATTAATTTACCACCATCCAGTTAATTTACTACCATCCAATTAATTTACCACCATCCAATTAATTTACCACCATCCAGTTAATTTACCACTATCCAGTTAATTTACCACCATCCAATTAATTTACCACCATCCAGTTAATTTACCACCATCCAATTAATTTACCACCATCCAATTAATTTACCACCATCCAGTTAATTTACCACCATCCAGTTAATTTACCACCATCCAATTAATTTACCACCATCCAGTTAATTTACCACCATCCAATTAATTTATCACCATCCAATTAATTTACCACCATCCAGTTAATTTACCACCATCCAATTAATTTACCACCATCCAATTAATTTACCACCATCCAGTTAATTTACCACCATCCAATTAATTTACCACCATCCAGTTAATTTACCACCATCCAATTAATTTACCACCATCCAGTTAATTTACCACCATCCAATTAATTTACCACCATCCAGTTAATTTACCACCATCCAATTAATTTACCACCATCCAATTAATTTACCACCATCCAATTAATTTACCACCATCCAGTTAATTTACCACCATCCAATTAATTTTAATATATAGATAAGAGTAATATATCATTTTTATTGTAACAAATTTATTTAGTTTAAATAGTTATACATAAATCTAAATTAAGTTCAATATTTCAAACAAAATTTTTTAAATAAAAAAGGTATTAAAAAAAAAAAGCGTAACAGCCTAAATACTTAGTTTTGAGCCACAATCAGCGTAGACCTAAATCCAATTTAAGCACATATCAAAACAAAGTTTATTGTTTATATTGTGTAATGACACTTTATTTTACTCAGTTTTGCATACAAGTCAAGTGGAATCTTTGGATATTCTATGGGACCTGCTGGTGGCGCGTTTGCTACATCATCTGTGCGACCTTTGTTAACTGAATTGGGTTGCTTACCTGTCAGTCATAGTGTTCAAATACCTATAGTGAGTTTTTCATTTAATACTTAAATTTTAAATCAAATAGAATGATATTTTTATCATTTCAAGTAAAAAATTAACTAACTATAATAGTTTGATATGTTGCATGTTTAATTTGATTAACTAATAAAAGGTAATCAATTATTAGGCTCATACCGTTGTCAATGCTGATGGAAGTACTGAAAACTCTCACGTATTAAGTAGTGTTAAAACGTTGTTACAACAAACAGAATGGTGGGGAGAACTTGCAAAGGCAGGAAGAGCAAAAGGAGTTCCTGCTTAACATTTTTAAAATTAAACATTTTTTTCTACTTTTCTGAAAATGTATTCAGTGTAATGGTGCATTTGATTTATTTTATTTAAGTTTAGAATTAGATTACATTTCTATTAGCTTGTTACTTAATTAGTTTTTATTGTATAAATTAATAGTAACTTAAATGCACTCAGGCCTGACGAAAGGGGGACGGGGAAGATTCCCAAGGCCTGTGTTTGTACGAATTAAATATTTTTTAAATGCACTCAGGCCTGATGAAAAGGGGGACGAGGAAGATTCCCAAGGCCTGTGTTTGTACGAATTAAATATTTTTTAAATGCACTCAGGCCTGATGAAAGGGGGACGGGGAAGATTCCCAAGGCCTGTGTTTGTACGAATTAAATATTTTTCGTAATGTAAAATTATAAAATAAATGATTTGATATTTTTTGAACTTATATATCTAAATCCAACATAATTTTATATCAAGAGATATAAAATGTTTATGTCAAGCGTAAAAGAACATAGTACGGTAACACGGTACATAGTAACAATATAGACAAAATGTACGATTTGGTTATACAGTTCACGGTAAGAACACGATAAAAGTATGTATAAAAGCTTATTAATTAAGCTAAAAAAATGATTAAGTTTAAAATTATAAGAAAGTTTTTCAGAAACAAATTTCTACTTGTGAAGTATCATACTTAAAAGAAAAAAATAACTATGTTAAAAATATTTATATACTCGTTTAGAAATGATAAAAAAAAGTCAGCCTCCAATTTTAGATTTTAGACAATAAAAATGTTAACAATTTCAAAGTTAAGATGTGACCTAATTAAGCATTTTTACGTTAATATTAGGCGTCGTCCATAAAGTACGTATGCCAAAAATTTTGAAGTTTGACCCCCTCCCCCTGTTGCCATGCGTACTTTTAAGTCCTTTCGCCCCCTTAAAAAGTACGTACGTTTTTGAAATACTTTCCCCCCCCCCCCCCCTCCTTTCTTTTTTTTTTTTTATATTATTTATTCCATTAACTTTTATTTTCAATGAAAAAGTTCATTGAAAAAAAACAGTGGAGAAGTTACCTTAAATTCTTTATACGACCCAAAAGCTACAAATGAAGATATTTAATATATATATAAAAAGAACGCGGAAACTCGTGGAAGTGTCGTGTCGTCGAGTACCGCTGTAAAAAGTTAAATATTTTACGTAGTAAATAAAAAAGTGTTATGTAATAATAAAAAAATAACAAGATTTAAATTAAAAAGACTACAAAAAAATAAAAAGAAAAATTTCTTTATGATAATTTGACAGATAGTATAATAGCAATATTGGTTTGCAGTTCGGAAATAATTGAGTTACAAATCATATCAAAAAAATCATACATTACAAATCCTATAAGCCGATATAAATAATAGATAAAAAGAATTTCAAAAGGTTTTTAAAGGTACATTTGTGTATTGTCAATTTGAAAAACTAGTTCTTTCGACTTTTTTTAAAAGATATGTAATTCCATTTAAAAGAAAAGTCAAAGTTATTTAAGTTAATTTTGTTCCAAAGATACGGTCCACGAAATAATACGCAAAATTTACAATGAGTAATTTTCGAAAATTTCGTAGATCGTATTTATTTTTTTGTTTTGTTATAAATAAACTATGAAAAGGAGACGGGGATAACTTCGTTTTACCTTTGTACATAAATCAAAGAATATTATTTACGTTAAGTTGATATAAGTTTAAAACATTCATTTTTCTTAAGAAAGGCTTTGAATGAGTTAGTCGATCACAAGAGTTAACTAAACGTACCATATGTTTCTGATGACGATAAAGAGGCTCTAGTTTACTTTAGTTAATACTGCCCAGGCAATATTTGCATAGTTAACATGGCAGTGAATAAGTGAATAATATAGTTGCATTAAAGTGCGCATGTTTAAATAGCTTTTTGATTTGTATAATATTCCAAAACTTTTTGAAATTTTGTTGCTTAAATTTTTGATGTGTTGTCTCCATGTAAGCTTTTCATCAATATATATTTATCAAAACTGAGTAGTTTTTACTCTTTTAACTTGAAAATTATCAATGAATATAGATGGCGTTTCGTATGGTATTAGTTTTTTTTTAGAAAGTTGGTGAAATAGAGTCTAGTTTGTTTTGTCAATATTTACTGAAAGTTTATTTATTTTGAACCAGTCGGAAAACTTTTTAAGTTCTAAGTTCATAATTTCAAATATCACAGTAATGTTACTGTGCGATAAAAATAAATTTGTGTCGTCGGCAAAAATTATTGTCCTAAGGCTAGATGCTTTATGAAGATCAGTGACATATATAAGAAAAAGAAGAGGTCCGAGTAAAGAACCTTGTGGCACGCCACAAGTAATATTTAGTAACGATTTTGGTGATTTATTGTCAATGTGTACATATTGAGCACGATTATTTAAATAACTCTTTACACACTTTAAAACGACTCCTGTGATTCTATATAGTTCAAGCTTTTTAATAAGAATTTGATGGTCAATAGTATCAAAAGTTTTTATTTTTATAAAACAATTTGTTAATATTACGCGTAAACTGAAGTATTGCATGCTCTGTGGAGTTTTTTTTGAAACCATATTGATTATTAAATAAAATATTATTTACAGAAAGATAAGTGTTGATTTTGTTATATAACATTCTCTCTAAAATTTTTGAAAATACAGGAAGTACAGAAATAGGGCGATATTTATTTACTTTAGTTGCATCCCCTCCTTTGAATATCGACGTTACTTTGGCAATTTTAAGTTGATCAAGGAAAACTCCTTGACTAACGCAAGATAAAAAAGTTTTAAATAGAATATTTTCAATAACATTGTAAGAATTTATAACGATGTTTTAGTTTATACCGTCGAATCCATTTGCTTTATTTGGTTTAACTGTTTTTAAAGCAGCTTCAAATTCCTTAAAGGATGTTTCAATGCAATTAAGATTTGCTGTTTTTAGATGTAAATATTCATAAGAATTACTAGTATAAGGATTATTTTTTGCTAAGTTAGGCCCCGCGAAAATAAAATGCTTATTTAATTCAACTGCAATATTGCTTAAAACATAAAAAATTTTATCATTAACTTTAATACCGTTAGGCAAAACGCTTGATTTAGTTTTAGCTTTAGTTCTTTGTTTGCGGCACAGGATCCCAATTTTAAAAACGTCTTCAAATATATATGCAAATATTAATTTTAATAAAGTTAAATTACGCTTCGCTAATGTGTTCGCTTGGTCGAGCGGTTAATGCTGTGGACTGCGGCAACGGAGACCACAGCATTAACCGCTTCTCAGTGTGTTCGATCTCAGTCCCGGTTCGATCTCCAGTCGAGTCACATTGTACTTCTTTTTCTTTTAACGACGAATCAAATAAAAATAAACTATACTTAAGGCGGACGTTTTTTCAGGCACCCCTATTTAGTGCAATCAGTAATATCAAAAACAAAGCCTAAAACTCCAGTGCTGCCAAATAAGAAGTTTTGATGAATTTATTGGAAAAAAATCCCTATCGTGTATATCAAATGAAAAAATATCCTATAAAGAATTCATTGAATGTCATTACAACCACGTCATTGAATGTATTAGAAAACCCTTATTTCATCTAATATCATCTTCTTTTGAACTCGGTACTTTTCCTGATTTGTTAAAAATTTCTTAAGTCAATCCTGTTTATAAAAATGGAGATTTTAGTAATATGTCTAACTACCGTCCAATTTCCCTCTTACCACTGTTCTCTAAACTTTATGAAAAAGTAATCTACAATCGAGTTTATAATTACTTGAAGTTAAACAAACTTTTATATGAAAATCAATTTGGTTTTCAAAAAAGTTGCTCAACAGAGCATGCTATCATTGAACTTACTAATAAAATATTTCAATTTTTCGATAAAGGGGATCATGTACTGGGAGTATTTATAGACCTTTCAAAGGCATTTGATACTGTTGACCACAACATCTTACTAACAAAATTAAAACATTATGGTATAAAAGGACTAATGCCCATAAATGGGTAAAAAATCTGAGTAACAGAAAGCAGTTTCTAATTAACAATGACAAATATGAAAGTCTTGAAAAAACTTAATTTATATCAGATTCTTATTTTTATGTTCAAATATAAAAATAATATGCTACCAAATTCTTTTCTAGACATATTTTCGTCATCATTTTCTCAAAGTTATTATCTGCAATCAAATAGCGATCAAAGGCAAAAAATTTTGTGTTCTTTTGCTAATTTAAGGAGCTTTTTATTTAAGCAAAACCTAGCGGTAAAATTTGGGAGATTTTGAGACCCAAATGACACGTTTTTTGGGGGGCCTCCGACCCATTAGCTACGGGACTGCTAAAACCTGTATTTTGTCGACTCAAAAAACATGTTGCCTAAAATACGCTTTACTCAGGGCCAGTATATACGGGGAGGCATGTGTGATTTGTCTCACACGTTGAAGAGTTACAGGTAATTGTAAATCAGAACGAATTCAAGATGCAGTCATGTGCTGAGCAGCAGCACGACGTACAATAGCTCGTTTAGTACAATTATCAATTAGGCAAATAAGCTTATTAACATTTTTTTCGTTTAATCTAAGCTTTTTATTCGTTCTACCATTTTAGACACCTTCTCTCTCCCTCCCTCCCGTCACAACATCGTAACTCTTTAGTAACAAAGAGTTACTTACTTAACGAAAGTAAAATAAAAAAAATTTGTTTATCGAATAGTAAACGACTGCTCGTTAAACTTTATTGCAAACTGAATAATAACGAAATAACGTATAATAATAAAAATAACGTTAGACAAACTATTTTACATATACGATGATGAGTTAATTCAAATATATTAATTTGAACAAAAATGTATAGAAAAAACATTTTGCGCCCAGATCTTATGATAGGTTAACTAATATTAGAATATCACAATCAAAATATGATTTTGTATATATATTTCTCTTTACAATATATTTTATTTGATGTTTGACAGTTTATACTCACATAAAAATTTTGTACATAATTGCACACTAATCGTATGCATATTTACTTTAATATGAAAATTTTTGCGTAGAAAAACAATCTATTATACAATTATGTCAATAAAATATTAAATATTTTAACGACTGAAGTTTTTAAAAAAATATAACTTTAAATTTCAAAAGCATGCTGTTATGTTATGAGGTGTTTTAAAAAACGCAAAGATTCCGTGCAATGAGACCGGATTTTGGTTAGCGTTGAACTAAATCTGTGTTGTTTTCAGAACGACACACAGACAAGGAAAATAATCCTTATTACACAGCAACTAAGTTATAGCTTAACCTGACGGATAAACTTTGAGCAACCACTCTACGTTTGGATTAACTTTTAAAATTGCTGATATATTTGATGACGGATCAAGGATGCGTTCACCTGCATAAAAAATGTTTAACATTTATTTACCCTGCTTACGCAACCGTTCAATTCCTTATTAAACAAAATGTTACCTATGTTTCCACCAGTTTCACATAAACAATATTCAACATCTGCATCATCAACCTTTTTACATTTTGATTTATCAATTTCATCTTTAATACTATTTTGACGACGCCATTGAAATTTCGCAATGACGTCAGCAGCAGTTGTTTTATCAGTCAACTGAATTGCCATACTTTGTTTATTGAAGCTCGGCGCTAAACAACAACAAAAAAATTATTGAGCAATTTAAAACTAGTCCTTATGATGAAAGTATTTCTTGATTTTAAGATTTCTAAAAGTAATGTGTTTAGATTAAAAACTGCGCCAAAAAATGTGATTTAGTAACAATTATCTTAACTTCAACCAAAAATATTTTGCACCAAGTGCACAAAATATTAACTTTCAAATTATGTTATAAAAATAAATGAACTCAATTGTTCAACTCTTGCTAATTTAACAAAAAAAGATTATCGCTAAAACATTACTAGCACTAGATAAAAAAAAAAAAATAACCTTAAACACGAGCAATTACCTCGAACACGAATAATTAAAAAACAAATAACCTTAAACACGAGCAATTACCTCGAACGCGAATAATTAAAAAAAAATAACCTTAAACACGAGCAATTACCTCGAACACGAATAATTAAATCATCGAGTTCGTCACCACTGCTCTCAGAGGATTTTCCACGACGACCAAAAAGATTATTTTTAATTCTTCTTGCAATTATCTTTTTAACCTAAAAAAATAATTATAAATAATAAAAAGGAACCTGATAGAACATGGAAAGATAGAGATTGATGAAATAATATAATAAAAAAAAAGAAATAAAAAGACAAAACATAGTTAGTCTTGATATTTCAGTGCATATTTAATTTAAACAACAATTATAACAGTTTTTTCTTAAAGTTATAATTATCAATTTTTAATTCATAACCATCAAAAAATCAGTTCTATAAAAATTGATTTTTTTTAAAATTGTTACTTTAAAAATCAATATTTAAAATATTTATTTAGAAAATTAAAAATTTCAAATTTAAATAAATTCAAAATTAATAGTTTTATTCACCAGTTTTATATCATTTTAAACTGGAAAAAAAAATCAAGAATCATTCCTATTCCTAATGTCTTGTTAATATAAATCCTTCAAAGATGTATAGAAACGGATCAAAGATGTATAGAAACGGACCAGGTGAAGACCTTTGGGCTCTGCACCTGGTTCATTACTGTTTATTGTGTATATGCATGATATATATAAGCAGGTATGTTGATCTGAACTTATTTGATGATGGCAATTTACTGTGAATTACCATCTACCCCCACTCCCAAATTGTTTTACACATGATTTTTTTTTACATTTGACTCCAAGTATATAAAAATTAGTTATTTTATTAATTGTTCAGCATGCTCCTTTTATATTTTAGCAGATGTATTTTTTGAACACTGCATAAAAAAGCTCCTTTTTTTAAATGATCCCTTTTATTACTGAGAAACTTATTTATAGTATCAAAAAAGATAATAAAATAAAAATAAAATATTAGTTATGTTTAAAAAAATTAAATTTAGAAATTAGTTCTCATTTGAATTTAAATTTAATGAGGTAATTTTGTCTGCTCTAATTGGAAGACTCAAACTCAAATTTATATATTTTAACATACTCCCATATAAACAAGTTTGTAAAATAAAATATTACTTGTATAAATATCTTTCAAAAATTGGTAGAAATTCTCTGAAAATAATTTTGAAAATTGCAAAAATATGCTTTTTAAAACAAAAATTCATAAATGGCATTCAAGATCATGTAACTTATACTGATTAACATTTGTAAAAAAAGAGAAATAAACAAAAAAGATACTAAATGTAAAACTAATATCTTTGTAAAAAACTAACCGATTTTTGATCTTTGGTGTTGGCACCAGCTTCATACAGATATCTTATTTGGGTGACCATAAAAGATGGTATCTAAACAATAAATAAAAAAATATGTATATAACAACATGTAATTTGTGAATAACACAAGTATTCAAGTATGAGAAACAACAACATTTACTACAAAATGAAATGAATCTTTACAAGAAAAAATAAATGGTAATAAGTCAAAATGTTATAAATATTACTTACAGTCCACAATATGTTTTGATATTTGATTAACATTCTAAGAACATCTGTCATTCCAACAGCTTTTTGAGCTTCGTCTGTGTTTATTTTAGAATTGTTTTGAAAAAACAAGTTTGGTGCCATGATCATAGCAACATTGTTTAATCCCATCTTGCTGGTGGCTTCGTGAGAAACAACTTTTTGAAGAAACAATAAAATCAACTAAAATAGAAATAATTTCTCATAAGTGAAATCAAAATACTCAATATTTATTCAAAGCAATATAAATACTATCCAATACAAATAATTGATGAAAACTGAAAAAATGAATAATCGATGTCTTAGCTTTTAGAGCTCAAATAAAGTTTGTTCTATTATTTGACAATCAAAATTAACATAAGTGAAACATAATTAAACATAATTAAGTTACAAATTATTATTTATGCTTATATTATTGTTAAATAATGCAAACATATATACATGTATATATATTCATCAAATCAAACAATTTTTTAAAATTCTGCCCATTTGTATAAGGAAGCAGTCAAAAAGTCTGGTTACAATTTTAAACTTAATTATATTCTGAAACTCTATCAAAAAACCGCAAGCACAAAATAATCTGGTTTAACCTCCCATATCATAAAATTGTTTCTACCAAAACTGGCAAACTCTTTTTGATAGAAATACTTTAAAGATGAGTTACAGTTATATACCAAGCGTCAAATCAATCATTAACTTGCATAACAATTGTGCAATAAAAAGCAACATATATGTATGTATGTACATACATATATATATATATATATATATATATATATACATACATATATATATATATATATATATATATATATATATATATATATATATATATATATATATATATATATATATATATATATATATAGAATTTAATATGAATAATTAATATTAATAAATTAATAATTAGCATTTACTTTAATAGAAGAAAAGATATATATAAATATACAAAAATATATATATATATATAAATATATATATATATATATATATATATATATATATATATATATATATATATATATATATATATATATATATATATATATATATATCTTTATATATATACAGTATATTTTGAAAAGAAAGTTTCGAGGCCACTGCATATTTACAGCATAAGGCAGCAAAAACAAGAAGTACAACATTATGTTAAACATAATTTACAATTATTATTATCAAAAATATTATAGTTAAACACAATAAAATAATTTCATGAGTATTTTAAATAATTTCAACAGTATTTGGAATATCCACCCCTGACTTTCAACACTGCAGCAATGCACTTTGGCATTGACTGAACAAGACCCACACAACACTCAACAGAAATATTATTCCATTCCGTTTTTAACAATATAAACGGTTCTGTAGCATTCTTTGGCTTCTTTCCTTTAATTTTCTGAAATAAAATTTCCCAAAAATGTTCTATAGGATTCGGAACAGGAGACTGAGGAGGCCAGTTCATTACATCAACTTTATTCCCCTGAAACCAGTCCATCACAGTCCTTGCCTTATGGCAAGGCACATTGTCCTGCTGGTAATACCAATCATTTGCACCAAAAGTTCCAGCAGCAGAAGGCAGCATACATTTCTTCAGTAAATCCAAGTACTTAATAGCATTTAGACTACCTTCACACCTGTGAAGCATTCCAAACCCGGCTGATGACATTTTAAATAGCACACATTAGCATTTTATTATAAAAAAACTAAATTTTTGTAATATATCAAAAGATAATCATTTAATTTAATATTCTAAGTATATTCTTGTATATTTTAAGCAAAAAATAATAAAATAATAATTTTCTGTCAATTATGGGACGTGGTAAACATGGATCAGACTTTCGAGGACAAGTACAGGCATATCGAGATCAAGGATTAAACAATTCTCAAATAGCTCGAAGATTTGATTGTTCTCGTAAGAAAGTTATCAGTGCTATTAAATTATTTAACAATACTGGTTCATTAAGCAACAAAAAACGCAAGTTTCGCGAACGAAAAACAACCCCCAGAAAAGACGCAGCCATTGTTTGTATTGCTAAGCTGAATCCTTTTGCTGGCGCACCAAAAATTAAAGACAAATTGCACAAAATCTAAAACTCAATCTGTCTGTCAGCATAGTCAAAAGTCGGTTACGCAAAAATAAGCTCAAAACGTAATCTCGTCAGCCGTTTGAAGTTTGCAAAACAGTACATACACAAGGACTTGCGTTTTTGGAAAAATGTGCTTTGGACTGACGAGTCTAAGTTCAATTGCTTTGGATCCGATAGAAAGCAATATGTTCGTCGTCTCCAGAACCAAGAACTCAGCCCTCAGTATACTTTAAAGACCCTTAAACATGGTGGTGGCCAGGTGATTGTTTGGGGTAGTTTTTCATGGAGTGGAGTAGGCCCGTTGTATAGAATTCAAGGCATGATGGATCAACATATTTACAAAGAAATACTGGAAAATGTGATGTTGCCATATGCCCAAGAAAATCCCCCTCTAGTTTGGAAATTCCAACAAGACAATGACCCCAAGCACACCGCCAAAAGTATTAAAGTATGGCTTACCACTAATAAGATTGACGTTTTAGGGTGGCCCGCACAGTCACCAGACCTAAATCCAATAGAAAATTTGTGGGAGGAAGTTGATAGAAACATAAACCGTTTAACTGCAACAAATTTAGACTATCTTTGGGTCGAAATAAAAGCTGCTTGGGACGCCATTACGCCTGAACGATGCCAAAACTTGATCTCCTCAATGGGCCGTCGTTGTCAAGCGGTTATTGACTCAAAAAGATACCCCGCTAAATATTAATTTTCCTCAAAAAATTTTTTTTTAACTATTAATACAAAAAAATTCCATGATTTTTGTAGCCAAAAGACAAAATTATAATTTTGTACAGGGTGTGCTATTTAAGTTGCCCCCTTATTCTGTAGTTCTAAATCATTTATATGGTTGTACTTTTTTTTACATAAGCTACTTTTATTTCTTAATCAGTAATGTTATCTTTTATAACTAATATATTATTAGGCTAAAAAAGTTTAGGCCTCAAAAACTTAGATCTCTGGAAAATAAAGCATTACATTTTGGATATCAATCTGTGCTATTTATTTTGTCGCCACTGTATATATATATATATATATATATATATATATATATATATATATATATATATATATATATATATATATATATATATATATATATATATATATATATTAAACATCTTCGCTTCCAACAAGGCTGCAAGCAACCACTAATTAGAGTTGGAAGTTACTGAAAGAGAAAAGATAAGGATTGTAGAGCAAGATAACGATTGACAGACAACTTAAAAGATAGCAAATTATATGAATCAGGAAAGCAAGATGAAGGCGAATTCCAAAGAACTGATGTTCGAAGAAAAAAAACTAGAGGAATAAGAGTTTTTGGAGTACTTAGGGACAGTCACAGAAGAAGGATGAGACTTGATTCAATGACTAGTAACATGAGAATGAATTTTAGTAGATGGCAGAAGAGATGCTAACTCTTTAGAGCAGTGCCCATTATAGTATTTGTAGAAAAGAGAAAGAGAAGCAACATTACGACGATGTGATAATAGTTAAAGGTTGGCTGCAAGAGCAGGTCCAACTTTGTTTACAATACGCTTTTGCACCTTGTCTAAAAAAGAAAAGGGCATCAATAGTAAATTGACCCCAGATATGGCAACAGTATTCCATACAAGGCCAGATTTGAGATTTATAGAGATAGAGAGTAGAATCCAGAGTAAGAAAGTGTTGAGCTCGATAAAGAGATGCAACTTTAGCAGATGCTAATTTTGCAACGGATCTGATATATGGTTCCCCAAAAAGATCAGAAGTAAGAGTTAATCCTAGAAGATGAAGGGTAGATAACTCATCAAGTACATTACCATTCATAAATATAGGCAGGTCTAAATCATTGCGATAGCGATTGGCTGAAAAAAATTGAGTTTTATCTGAACTAAAGTTCACCAGCCACTGTGAGCCCCATGCTGTAGCAGAAGTGAGATCCTTTTCAAGCTCAAATGCCCCCTCCAAACAATCAGAGAGAGTTGGCTTCTTATCATGACAAGAATAAATGGTAGTATCATCAGCGAACAAAGCCAGCTTGGATATGAGAATATCTGGAAGATCGTTAATGTAAATTAAAAAGAGTATAGGGCCAAGAATTGAACCTTGAGGAATTCCTGAGGTTACAGAATAAGAAGAAGAGTGCTGTCCATCAAGGACAACTTTTATACTACGATTGGAAAGGAAGGATTCAATATCTTAAAGATGTTTTCAGATACACCATAAGATGGCTTATGGAAAAAATCAGCATGCCAAACTTTATAAAACGCTTTAGAAATGTCAAGAGCGATGGCCTTAACCTCTCCACCTTTACCTAATGCACAATAAAACCTATTGGTTATTATCAAGCAAATCAGCGGTAGAACGAGAAGATCGAAATCCATATTGATGATCAGAAAGTAAGTTATTAGATTCAAGATGAGAGAATAAGTGTTTGTTAATTAAAGATTCAAAAACCTTGCTTATGATAGGAAGAAGAATAATGGGATGGTAGTTAGACAAACCATATCACTCTCCAGAATTTTAAAAAATAGGGATGACAGATGCTGCTTTCCAGCAGGCTGGAAAACAAGACTCTGATAAGCACTTGTTGAATAGTTTTAAAAGGATAGACGACAGCTCTGGAGAACACTTCTGCAAGACTATAACAGGTATATTGTCCGGGCCACAAGCTGTAGAAGAGTCGAAGCAATAAATCACTTTAGATACAGAAGCTGAAGTGATACAAATGTCAAGCAATGGATCAACCTGTTTATAGAACAAAGAAAAAAGCAATAGAGTGAAGTGGTGCTAAACGAAAGCACATAAAAGAGTAGTCTGTGGATTCTAACCTAGTTTCCCAACAAATGGGTGAATTCTTACGAATGTAAATGCCCAGGCCAAGCATGTGACAATTGGAGTCTTTAAGAATTAAAGGATCTCAAGATGAGACGGCTGAACTCAAATTAGTTTCGCAAACAGCAAGTAAGTCTGGTGAACTTTGCAAGAGATAAGACTCAGCAGTAGAAAAGTTACTTCGAAGACCATGAATATTAGTGAATGATAGGTTTAGCGAACTTCATGATGACAGTGGTTTTTTGTGTTTTATAATTTTTGTTACTTTATTCATTTTTAAAATTGTTAAAGAAATTGACTCAAAACATAGATAGTACTCAGTACACTGTTTAATAGCCCAAGCAATTGCCTCATCACTATTAATAAACCCTAACCCATAATAAAGGGCTCCAATGTGACCTTGGCAATGTACACCAAAAGTAAAAACAAGGACATCATCCATGCGCAACATGGCATTTTTAATACTTTGATATTTTTCAGCTGTTGATGGAATCAGCCTCTCTGAGAGCTACCACAGAGTTTGGGAAACCTGACTACCAGCCAACCTCAGAACCATAAAACTGAGTTTTAGAGCTGTACGCTCATTAGAAGATAATAAAATGAGTTGCCTAGTCATAAAAACAGAGACATAAACAAAATCCATGCATCGAGTCAAGAGGATCCAGCATTCAATATCCTAAACTGGAAACAATGCATTAAAAATACATCTGCGCCAGCCTAATAGATGAAGAAGGGGTGCAATGCTGGTCAACAGATAGGATCTGTTTAAAGGGTAAACAGATCCTTTGCCTAGGAGGTCTTCTACAAGACAGGAGCCGGATGCATTTAACATCTGCCCAATATAAGTATTTTTATTGAAACATTATTTCTAGTCTTCACTCAAGGGTGTTTTATGTTGCAGTTAGCATCTCCTAGTCTTTGCCTAAAAAGACATATCATACAAGGCAGCAGGACATGAAGCAGATTGTACTGGGTTACATGTTACCAGTAGCAGAATAACCTGACCTGACAAAATGAAAAAAAATATATAGATGTGGTATAATATGATAGTTGTTTTCTCTGTACCATATTATGATATAGAGAAAATAACTTGGAAAATACCCCCTCAACATTCGTGCTCTTCAAATTCTTCTGGTCCGTGTTCAAACATTCGAGGTAATAAACATCATTTATTCACTGATAAGAACAATTAAAATTGAAATCGTGAAGTTTTTTTTTACAAATTGCACAGTCAAGTTCTGGAACAATTAACCAATTGAAACATTGGAAGTTAAAAATCTCAACTTATTTAAAGCTAAACTAGACTTTAACTTTCCTGTTGTGCCTGTAAAAGATTTAACATAGGGTTAAATCTTAACAATATTGTATATATATATATATATATATATATATATATATATATATATATATATATATATATATATATATATATATATATATATATATATATATATATATATTAATTCACCTCCTCAAGGCCGAGGAAGCCACTACAGACGAGGAGGATATTATTTGTGGTTATAATCTTCTCTCAACTCTATAACTCTGAAACACAAACCTTGACAAACAAGGCCGCTGTGCGGAGAAACGAGTTAAGCAGGGTACTACCAGGGATGTGATGGGGGTTCGAACTCGGAACCACTCGTTTATGAAGCGAGTGCTCTACCACTACACCACTACCGCAAATTATATATATATATGTAAATATATATATATATATATGTATATATATATATATATGTATATATATATATATATATATATATATGTATATATATATATATATATATATATATATATATATATATATATATATATATATATATATATATATATATATATATATATATATATATATATATTAATTCTGCTACAGTATGGGGCTTAATTAAACTAAATATCTCACTTCGGCTACAGCATGGGATTCTGAGTTGAAGTTCACCATGGTGGCTGGTGAACCTCAACTCAGAAAATTCAATTTTTTGCCAGCTAATCGTTATTGCAACAATCTAGATCTTCCTAAACTTATAAAGGGTAATGCACTTGATAAGTCATCTACCATTTGTCTTATAGGATTAATTCTTACTTCCGATCTTTCTTAGAAACCATATATCCATTGCAAAACTAGCATCTGCTATTGTTGTCACATCGTTGTAATGTTGCTTCCCTTTCTCTTTTCTATAATGGATGCTGCTCTAAAGAGCTAGCATCTCTTGTACCATCTACTAAAATTCATTCTCATGTTACACATCATTCATTCAATTAAGTCTTATTTAACCAGTTTTTTTCCTTGAACACCTGATTCATATAACTTGCAATCTTTAAAGTTGTCTATCGATTGTTTAACATATTTTATATTTTAATTATTTTATTATCATTCTCTTCCAGTATTTTCCAAAATAGTGGTTGCTTGCAGCCTTGTTGGAAGAGAAAAAATTAAAAAAAAACAAACATTACAAAATCAACGCAAACAGCAAGGTTTGAATTAAGTGATTGGGAACATGCTTTGTTTTTTTGGAAATGCTTTTGGTCTTTGAATTTTTAGTTTTTAAAAAACGTAAACTTCATTGTCATTCATTAAAAGTATTTAAATTTATTTTGAAATTATAATATAAAATCTCATTATAAAACCATTTTATTATTACTATTATTAATAATATTAAAAGTTATGATCTAAATTTTAATATTTTTATTCATTTGATAAAACTAGAAAAAATATTACATTGTAATATTAAAAATGAAACAATCACAAATCACAACAATCTAAGGAATATAATACAATTTAGACAACAGTCTAAAGGAATTTAGCGGTAATCAAATATTTTAAATTGCAACTACTTTTGCATTTATTTAAATTGTATATTTTTTAATAAATTAAATATAACTGTCAATTAAATTAATATATTAATATTATATAATTATTGATATAAAAGACAGAAGTTTAAAAACTTCCTAAAGTTTAAAATAAATCAAAAAATCTCTAATAACATATTTTAAAGTACTTTTATTATCAATTAATTACTGTCTAATTTAAAATACTTAAATCTTTAAATAAACAATTCTTCAAAAAGTTCCCTCTAACTAAAATCATATTTTAATGTTTTGTACAATGTACAATAACTTTAGTATAATTTTTTATTGGTTAATTTAAAAAAACGTTTTATCAGAAAAAAAAATTCTAATAATTTTTCTAATAATTTTTTTATAATGCTTGAATTAACTGGTGTTTAAACAAACAATAAAATAAAATATAGAAGTTTATTATTTTTTTCTAAATTTTGCAATATGATAAATTAAACTTTCATTATAACAGTGTTAGCAATTTTTAATAAACTGAGAATTTAAAAACCAGAAATATTTCCAGATTTAATAAAACACAACCGACTTAACTTGCACCTTAAACAGTCACAAAAAAGCATCAACTGAAAGTATAACTTCAAGAAATCATCAACAAAACATTTGAATTATTTAAAAGTTATTAGTAAATATTATTACTAAGTATATTACATAAATAGTATTAAAAGACAAAACTCTGAAATTGAACTAACAAAATGCATTTATGCATTAATAAAAGGGTGTCTGCCAATATTTTAAGCTGGATTTCCCTGATTTTTCCCTGATACTTCCCTGATTCACTACTTGTTTTTCCTGATTTAATTTAAAGTTACCCAAATTAACCTTAGAAAAATTAGACTTATATTCTTTTAAAAAAATGCTCTTCAATTGTAAAAATATAAACATTAATACAACCCACATTTCAAATACGAAGAGAAGATCATAAAATACGAAGAGAAGATCATAAAACTATCTGAATAATCTTCAGAATAATGCAGAATAAAAATTTATTATGTGTACGATATTAAATCTACTTAAGTTATGTAAATTTGATGAAAAGCTATTTTTCCTAATTTTTTCCAAAACTTAACCCAATTTCCCTGACTATTCCCTGATTTTTTTGCAAATATCTGAATACCCTGACTTTTCCCTGTTATCCCTGAATGACAGTCACCCTAAATAGTAAGTTAAGAAGTTTTAAATTCTGTAAAAAACTGTAAATAATTAAAAGTAAACTAAAACAAATAAAAAAAAATTTAAACCATTTATTTATTTTTATTTACTTTTAAAGTTTCTTGATGAACTGGGTGCAGCAAAAGTACAAGGAGGTTTAAGGCTTGAAGCTGATCTTTGCGATTTGGAAGATCTAAACATTATCTTAAATTACAACTAAGTATTATGTGTGTGTATATATATATATATATATATATATATATATATATATATATATATATATATATATATATATATATATATATATATATATATATATATATATATATATATATATATATATACATATATTAAACAAAACTACATATTTTTTACAACTATAAGTTTCATGCTAAATGCAATTGCCAGGTAAAAAAATATGATTTTTTCTCGTGGAAAAATAATTCTGTACAAGAGAAAAATCTTATCTTTTGCATTAGAAAAATCTTTTGGTCTGTGGTTACCCAGCAAAAGATTGTATTTATGGCGACACTTAAATATTAGTTAACTTTTTTTTGTTTAATAATTTTTTGAGATTTTTATACAATAAAATTATTAGTTTTTTGTATTAACATAATAGACATTTTTTAGTTGTATTAGAACATAACAGACATACTTTTAGTTGACATTATGTTGTTGTAGGTGGGAGCGCATTTTATGATAGATCCACAATATATGTATATATACACACATACACATTAGGTATTTAAATTTTCAATTTTTTTTAAATTAAAAAAAAAAAAAAAAAAAAAAAAAAAGTGAATTTACAACATTCAAAAAAAGTCACCTACTCAAAATAACAATTTTTTAGTTAAAACATTCATTTTTTAACATATGCGTTTTAAAATTTATCTACTAATAAACCTCAAATTTAATGTTTTTTCAGATTTTTTACATAATTATTAGACATCTTGAACAACTTTAATACCTCAGCACAAATGTTGGTTCTTTGTGTATTAAACAGACTTAAAATATTACTCCAGAAATTTCTAACTGAACATTGTGCTTTCTTTATTGGTTCACACATGTTTACTATGCATAACTATTATGCAACAAACATATATTGCATAAATATTATGCAATACACATGTTTATCAAATATGCATAATTATTAGATTCAAACATTTGTTTTCCTCTCTCTTTTTCCAGTAATACAAATGCAAGCAAATTGAACAAGAATATTGAAAAGTGTTTGGCAAGTTGGATATTTGGTTAGGTAACTTTACTTTTAGAAGTACTAAAAGTTTTCTACCATATGATGCAGCATTTTTATGTCATCTCGCCACCCAAGATTTTTAAATAGCAAATCTTCTGGATTTTTATTTTGCTCTCCAAATAATTTCTTTAACAAATTTTAATTATTAATAACTTTGGTCACAAATGAATAACTAAAGTCTGGCGATGTTGTTTGACAGAAAAAATTGAGTTGATTAAGAATAAAAAAGTAGAGAAACTGAATAACCATTGTGTCTTACTGTATTAATATTCGAGTGTCAAGTGTCAAGTGTCAAGTGTCAACACCGAGCATGCAAATGGATCAGAGCAAAAATCAAATACTTGTTAATGCTGGTTCTTAATGTGCTGTTAATGTTAATGTGCTGTTAATGTTCTTAATTGGTTAATGCTGGTTCATTTTCTTCTTAATTGGGCTAACTTTGCTGGATGAATTTCTCATTTTCAATTATAATTGTACAAAAACCAACTTTTCCTTTACATTTTATTTAAACCTTATAAATTTTTTTTTTTTTTAAATTAGTCTTCATGGCCATAATTATTAGCCATAAGACATATATAGATGTGATATCAAACAGCTCAATAACAAGTTTAATCAATTTTTTTAAACCGTTTTTTAACTTTATATGTTGTTGTTGATTGCTAGCATTATATGTTGTTGTTGATTGCTAGCATTATATGTTGTTGTTGATTGCTAGCATTATATGTTGTTGTTGATTGCTAGCATTATATGTTGTTGTTGATTGCTAGCATTATATGTTGTTGTTGATTGCTAGCATTATATGTTGTTGTTGATTGCTAGCATTATATGTTGTTGTTGATTGCTAGCATTATATGTTGTTGTTGATTGCTAGCATTATATGTTGTTGTTGATTGCTAGCATTATATGTTGATGTCGATTGCTAGCATTATATGTTGTTGTTGATTGCTACCATTGGAAAACTCTACTTATAGCTCAGCAAGTCCAGAAATGTTAATTTCATTTTCTCAGTTCTACTTTTTGTTTCATTAGATTACAAGCCTATTTACAACTATTTGCTCTGTTGGAATTTCTCTCATTAACTTTTGTTAAACTCTGTTTTTCCTACTTTTTTACAGCATTCTGAAAAGGTTTGCGCTGCAAGTTTTTGTTTCATGCTTATTTGCTGATCTCACTGCAAGCAGCATTATGATTTAAAAAAATAGAAATTTCAATTTGCTTTTAATTTTAATATTTTTTTAATGCTAAATATAATACATCAAACTTTTGAAAGTTTGCCATAACAAACGTTTTGAAAATCAAATTTCAAAATTTATAAACTACAAAAAGTATAAATTTTATGTTAATTATAACTTAAAGTATTTTTAAAAGCTGTTTTAATTTTATTTATAAATTGTAAATTTTAAATTAAAATTTGTGTATTTAAGAAATTTATTTTAAATTTGTTTACTTTTAATACTAAGTTAGAAAGGTGATAATTTTTAACAGCATTACTTGATTTTTAAGTGTTACAAAAAATGTTGTTTAATACATTAAAAAAAAATTTACATCCCTAATATACATACACACACAACACACACACACATATATCAACACACACACACATATATAAACACACACACACACACACATACACACACACACACTAACACACACATATAAATATATGCATTTTTAATAACTATTCAAATGAAAAAAATATTTGGGATCTATTTTGAAAAAATAAATGTGTGTGTGTGTGTGTGTGTGTGTGTGTGTGTGTGTGTGTGTGTGTGTGTGTGTGTGTGAGTGTGTGTATGTGTGTGTGTGTGTGTGAGTGTGAGTGTGTATGTGTGAAAGTAAAAATTAGCAGGAATAAAAAAAAATTAAAAAATTTACTTGCGACAGCAGCAAATGTGTTTTGATATTCATAACTGAGTAATGGAATAGGTAGTTCACTGAAATATAAAATTTTATAAAATTACTTCATTAATTAGCGTAATGATTTACATCTTAAATTTGTATTTTATAAACTACAACTTAACTATTATTAAATTTTAAATATTTTATTTTACCAATATAAAAGTTATCACTATTACACTTTTTATTCTATATAATAGTCTATTATATAATGAGACTTACTGCAAATGTTTATTTGTGTGTATTTGCACAGAGCTCATGGCAACCATTAAACCCAAGTTCACAGTGAAAAAGAGCTTATATTATTTGCTATTAGCAAATATTACAAGCTCTTTTTATATATTTCTTTATTTAACTTAAAATATTATATATACAGTGAAAAAGTTATTTTCACTTCTTTTATAAAAAATTGTAACTAAATTGTGTAAAACTTAAGATGGTAAAGTTTATTTAAAGTTTTAATTTAAAGTTTTATTTAAAGTTTTATTTAAAGTGTTGTTTTAGAGTTTAAAATTTGTCTATTATCACTATAGAAAATAATATTATTAATTTAATTGAATTATAATTTTTTTAATCAATATTTTTCATAAAATTACAAATAAACTTTTAAACTTGTTTTGATTATATAAAAATTTTATGTTTATATTATTTCTTATGCAAGATTTGTTGTCCATTAAAACTACATAAAAAGATAGTTGCTCATTATAAGTTCAATTTTAATATTTTATTCAAATAGAGGTGTCATCAATTAGTCAATTTTTTTTTATTAGTGACTTAATATTTAAGTCTTTATTTCCATTTTTAGTTTAATCATTCTTAAAGGGATTCCAAACCTGTGAGACATGTTGTGTTCATATTAAAGAGAATGATAAAAAAAAATGTTTAAAACAAAAGAATAAATGAATACCAAGAAAAACTAACTTTTTTATTTTAGTTAAAGCTCGCCTTCTCCAATTTATTGTAGGCCTAAAAGTCAGCATAATATATTCCTCAATCTTCAGATTTGATGAATTATTTGAATGCATTTTATTTTGAAGAGTTTTTGTACATAATACTATTTACTTTTTGTACATCATGTACTGAAACTCTTAGGAACAAAAAGTGCTTGAATAAATGATCAAGTCTGTAGATTGCGGTGTATATTATGCTGACTTTTAGGCCTACAATAAAATAAAGGAGAGCTTTGACTAAAATAAAAAAGTTAGTTTTTCTTGGTATTCATTTATTTTTTTGTTTCAATCAAAAAAATTTAACCCAAACATTTTTTTTTTATAATTCTCTTTAATATGAACACAACATGTAACAAAGTAACTTTTACAGCTAACCCAAACATTTTTTTTTTATAATTCTCTTTAATATGAACACATGTAACAAAGTAACTTTAATATGAACACAACATGTAACAAAGTAACTTTAATATGAACACAACATGTAACAAAGTAACTTTAATATGAACACAACATGTAACAAAGTAACTTTTACAGCTAACCCAAACATTTTTTTTTTATAATTCTCTTTAATATGAACACAACATGTAACAAAGTAACTTTTACAGCTAACCCAAACATTTTTTTTTTATAATTCTCTTTAATATGAACACATGTAACAAAGTAACTTTAATATGAACACAACATGTAACAAAGTAACTTTAATATGAACACAACATGTAACAAAGTAACTTTAATATGAACACAACATGTAACAAAGTAACTTTAATATGAACACAACATGTAACAAAGTAACTTTTACAGCTAACCCAAACATTTTTTTTTTATAATTCTCTTTAATATGAACACAACATGTAACAAAGTAACTTTAATATGAACACAACATGTAACAAAGTAACTTTAATATGAACACAACATGTAACAAAGTAACTTTTACAGCTAACCCAAACATTTTTTTTTTATAATTCTCTTTAATATGAACACAACATGTAACAAAGTAACTTTTACAGCTAACCCAAACATTTTTTTTTTATAATTCTCTTTAATATGAACACATGTAACAAAGTAACTTTAATATGAACACAACATGTAACAAAGTAACTTTAATATGAACACAACATGTAACAAAGTAACTTTAATATGAACACAACATGTAACAAAGTAACTTTAATATGAACACAACATGTAACAAAGTAACTTTTACAGCTAACCCAAACATTTTTTTTTTATAATTCTCTTTAATATGAACACAACATGTAACAAAGTAACTTTAATATGAACACAACATGTAACAAAGTAACTTTAATATGAACACAACATGTAACAAAGTAACTTTTACAGCTAAGATCTTGAAATTTTTTTTTTTAACATCTTTACTTCAATAAGGCTGGAAGCATTTCACTATTAGAGTTAGAAGTTACTGGATAATAAGGCTGGAAGCAACCAATATTAGAGTTAGAAGTTACTGGAAGAGAAAAGATGAAGTTTATAAAACAAGATAATGATTAGCAGATGACTTAAAATATTGTAAATTGTATGAATAAGGAAAACAAGAAGAAAGGAGTGAATTCTAAAGAACTGAAGTTCAAAGAAAAAAACTAGATAAATAAAATTTTTTGGAGCACTTAGGAACAAAGACAGTAAAAAGATGAGACTTAATTAAATGAAAAGTAACACAATTTTTACAGCTAAGATCCTCATGGCTGAAATCTTAACACATAAAGTTTAGGGGCCAAAATTTTCTTTTATATTAATAAAAAAATTCTTTAAAAATATAATTTTTTTAAACATGTTTTATTTTAGTATTTGTTAAGTTTAAACATATTTAAATAAGAAATATTGTAATGAAATTTCAGACAAAAATTCCATTGAGCTTAATGGAGAGATGTGAATATGACTGAAGATATTTTAGTTTTTTTGTTTAAATATATATACATGCATTAGAATGCTGGATCTTCTTGAATGTATGGTTTTACCTGAGTTTTTATGACTAGGCAACTCGTTCTATTATCTCCTAATGAGGGTACAGCTCTAAAACTCAGTTTTATAGTTCTGAGGCTGGATGGTAATCAGGTTTCCTGAATTCTGTGGTAATTGTATGGAATCTTTTATTTCCTCTGGATGATTCCAAGTCAAGCCTCACTCTTCTCCATGGTTTTCCTATCATTGTGCTGCTGTAATTTCCAGTTGTAACCATTACTTCTATATCAGTTGCCAAAACAATTCTTTAGAAAACAGAGGTCTATTTACTATTGCTAGAAACCATTATAAAAAGATTGTCTAATGCTAAAGCCTGCTATTCTCAGGTCACAAAATCTCCTACTTCATCTCAAAAATTAGGCTCCAGACTTCTGAAGAATCTTTAACATCCATGGTTTTCCTATCATTGTGCTGCTGTAATTTCCAGTTGTAACCATTACTTCTATATCAGTTGCCAAAACAATTCTTTAGAAAACAGAGGTCTATTTACTATTGCTAGAAACCATTATAAAAAGATTGTCTAATGCTAAAGCCTGCTATTCTCAGGTCACAAAATCTCCTACTTCATCTCAAAAATTAGGCTCCAGACTTCTGAAGAATCTTTAACAGTGTCTATGATAAAGGCAAATCTTTTATTCCATCCTTTATTATCTTGCATGTTATTGCATGTTATTCCTTCTCTCTTGCATGGTCCAGATTTTGTTACCTCACATAAAGACAAAGCTGAGTTGTTTGCAAAGAACTTTTTATCAATCTCATCTTTTCATTTCACTAATCACATCCTACCTGATATAGCCATCAAACAGGTTGATCAATTGTTATAAATTTGTATCACTCCAGCTTCTGTATCTAAAGTAATTTCCTACTCAGACTCTTTTACAGCTTGTGGTCTAGCAACATACCTGTTATAGCCTTGCAGAAGTGTTTTCCAGAGCTGTTGTTTATACTTTCAAAATTATTTAACAAGAGCTTATTAGAGTCTTGTTTTCCAACCTGCTGGAAAGCTGTTTCTATTATCCCAATTTTCAAAAACTCTGGAAAGTGATCTGACTCATCTAACTACTGTCTCATTAGTCTTCTTCCTATCATAAGCAAGGTTTTTGAGTCTTTAATTAACAAACACATAATCTCTCATCTTGAATCTAATAACTTACTTTCTGATCATCAACATAGATTTCAATCTTCTTGTTCTACTGCTAATTTGTTAATGGTAATAACTAATAATTTTACAACTAATAAATTCTACTAGGTTTACTAATAGGTTTTCTACTAGGTTTTTTAATAGGTTTACTACTAATAAATTCTACTGCTAATTTGTTAGCATTGTTTGCTAATGATACTACTATTTATTCTTGTCTTGATAAGAAGCCAACACTCTCTGATTTCTTGGAGGGGGTATCTAAGTTGGAAAGGATCTCACTTTTGCTATGGCATGGGGTTAACAGTGGCTGGCGAACTTTAACTCAGATAAAACTTGATTTTTTTTCGGCTAATCATTATTGCAACAATCTAGATCTTCCTATATTTATGAACAGTAATGTATTTGATGAGTCATCTAGCCTTCATCTTTAAGGACTAACTCTTACTTTCAATTAGCATCTGTTGAGGTTGTAATCAAAATTTGCATCTGCTAAGGTTGTATCTCTTTACTCACTTCAGATTCTATTCTTTATATAAATCTTTAAAAATCTCAAATCTGTCCTTGTATGGAATACTATTGCCATATCTGGGGCGGATCTTGAGTGATGTCCTTTAAAGCCAACCTTCAACAATTGTCACATCATCATGTTGCTTTTTTTTCTCTTTTCTATAAATTTTATAATGGGCACTGCTTTGAAGAGCTAGCGTCTCTTGTGCCATCTAGGAATATTTCATTCTCATGTTACTTGTCATTCAATTAAGTCTTTTTACGATTTAAACCTCAAAGTGGGGTTTTTCAATATAACATCTTCATTTATCTTTATATATCTGCTCAGTCAGTTTTAAGATTTAATAGGGTTTATGATAATTTGACCTAGTCATATAATCTGTCTATGTAATTTACTAATAGCTACACATTTAAAGGTTTTTTTTAGAAATTAAAATAAAAAAAGATGTCAGGCAATAAGTTATTTCATTCTTAGTCTGATAAGCTTTTTTTTTTATAGGTAAACCACGGTAAATAGTAACTAATTACTAAAGTTACTAACTAATATAAATTAAACCATGATGAAAATGGTAGCTAATTACTAAAAGTATTAGTAACAATGTTCATTTAAAATTTAAGTTGCTTTCCTTTTTTTTCAAACAATTTAAGTTTTTTTTATTTTAAATATAATTTTAATAATGTCAATTTTATTATTAACTAAATTTCAGGATTATTATTAAATAATAATAATAACAACAAAGAAAACTTTGTTTAGTTTTTTTTAAAGTATTGTATATTGTTTGTCTGTATTCAAACAAACAATCATTAATAACATTTAATAACAAAGATTTTATCAGTATTTGTTTATTCTTATTATAAAAATAATGGTAGCAATAACAATGGAAGATACATTAACAGGTTTGTAAATTGGTTTTTAGTGTATATATGCTATGTCTTTACTCCTTTTATCATATTTAATTGCTTTTTTATTTTAGATTTATCTAACAATGCTTTTTTAGCTATTGCAGAGTGAGTAGACCAGGCCTGCATCCTATGCATTTTATTAAATAAAGGACCTGCATCCTATAAGACACATAGGATGTGGGCCCAAACTTAGAGCAAAAACTTCTCCCCTCTTTTTATTGGGAGAATGGCCTCCTTAGAAAGCAAATAATGAGGGGAAGGAATGGTGGGAAAACATTACGTTACATTTAGTATTTATAACTTTGTATTTTTGTAGTTAGTAATCTATTAACTGTAGATATAGATAAATACTTTTTGTAACTATATAATTTTCTTTTTTTACATTTTGTTTTCTTTCTTCATATACAACATTTTATACTTTTATAGTAATAATAAATAATAAACTATTTTTTCCAAGTATTTTGCTTTATAAAAATATTTTTTGTTCTTTTTTAAAAAAAAGAGTTTGTTGTAGTGTTTTGTTTGTAAATAAATTTTGTTGAAAAAAAAATATATATAAAAATTTAAATATTTTAAAAAAGATATATTTTATTCCCTTTTTTTAACAAATGTTTTTTTAAATTGTCAAAAAGTATATTTTGTTTTTTTTTCTTGATAATTTTTGTTTGGCTATAAGTAAATAAATATATATACTCACAGAAGTAAATATATATATATATATATATATATATATATATATATGTATATATATATATATATATATATATATATATATATATATATATATATATATATATATATATATATATATATATATATATATATATATATATATATATATATATATACTTTTATTTGGCTTTTTTTTATTTTTGTAAAAGCTCCTCTTGATTTAAAATTTTGATTACTTTTAAATAAAATAACTTTTTTCACCTACTGATTAAACAAGAAGGGGTCTTAATGGAAGGGTCACCTACTGATTAAACAAGAAGGGGTTCTTAATGGAAGGGTCTAAATTTTCTTATTACTAATTTTCTGAAAACAACAGATTTTTAAATGAATAAAAAAGATTGACGGAGACCATATAAAGAAAAAGTATAGAAATTATTGGTGTGGAACACAAAAACAAAATGGTGTGGAACAGATTTTTATGACTTTATTTTACAGGAACAGACAGTTTATAATAATAATAATAATAATAATAATAATAATAATAATAATCTATTTAATTATAAGAAAGAATACTATTTTATGTACCGAAGAAACTGTTTCAAACATGTACATACGTCACAAATCTTCACTCCATCCCAACTAAATGATTGGAAATCTTTTTCAAGGTCTTCTTTTATTTGCTGAAATTATAAATATTTAAAATATTAAAGAATATTCGAAAACACATGTCATGGTTCCAACTGAAAATAATAATCACATTTAGCAAAATAAATACTTTTATCCGTGGAAGCGATCCAGTCACCCGGAGAATTCCTTCCTCATTTAATCCATTTTTCTCAATGTAAGAGATCATCTAAATTTTCAACACACTATAGTTAAGATGGTCTGAAACACATAATAGTCAAGATATATATACACATAAGCAACCCTCGGAATTAGGGTTGGCATTTGGCAATGCCGATCTAACCGCCGACCTAAACATGTTTGCGGTTGGCAAAAAAATTCAGTTTTGCCGACCTTGATTTGATGTTTTATGGTAAGACCTTTGTTTTTGCCGACCTAATGACCTCTAAAAGATTGAGGTCGGCAGATTATTGCCGATCTCAATTTTCCTAATTCTGAGGGTTGCATAAGATGGCCTAAAAAACAAGATTATATCCTTAAGATTATAGGCTTATTTTATTATTTTTCTCTAGCCTAACATGCAGTTTAACATCTTAAGTGGTTTGGATAGATTTTTGTGTGGTTTTGATAGATTGCCACAATAGCTTTTTAATTTATTTTATAACCTGGAAGATTTAAACCAACTTTATAAAAATGGATACTTTTAAATGTGTTAACCTGTTTCGCAAATCAAGGCTGAGTATTTTTTTATTAAGAATTTTTATTGTTGATTACTACTCAAAGTTGCAAGAATGATTAAGATGATTTTTTAAACTTATTTTTGCAATAAGACAGCAATAGTCCATAAAAAATCTAGTTTTTTTTTGGAATTATTTATCTACTATATGCTCTGGCTTGAAGCAATGAAATCCCAGAAATTGCTGGTGTCTGTTAAAAGGGTTTTATATAAGGGCATAACGATTGCCATTAGCCTTGTAATTTTTTAAAAATAAGGTTTATATAAAAATTTTCTTTTCATAGGTAAGTTGTCTTCACAACAACTAAGGATTCTCACCTGCTCTATATGAAGCAAGTTGCATTAGATTACATTTTACCAGTAACATGGTGATCAGACCTAACTACAACTAGATTAATAATTTTAACATGATTAGAATTCTTAAATGTGTTTTGTGAAATAAAATGACTCTGGATTTTTTGAATTTGCTTAAAGAAAAACTATTTTTAGGGGCTGCAAAACACTTTTTTTTGACAGGTCATTAAACAGGTCCCTAACATTAACACACAAAAAATCCTTCAAAGGTATTCATACTGGATTTCAAAAAAAGAAAAAATTTCAAAAATAACAATCTTTGCACATAAAAATGATTTTGTTACATGAATTATTTAATTACAACAACAACAAAATTTTTATTAAGATTTTTTACAATTTTTTACAAGATTTTTTACAATTTTTTGTTTTAAAGATTTTTTACAATAACTTTTTGCTTCAAAGGTCAAAGGTCAAAGTTCAAAATCTCTAAAAAATTTTAACTTAAGAAATACAATGTCACCTTATTATTAGATTCACAATGCCAGCTTATTATTAGATTCACGATGTCACTTTATTATATAAAACGAATTTAATTTTGGGCCACATTTGTCTTTTTTATATAAAACGAATTTTAACATTTTGGCCACATTTGTCTTTTTTTCAATAATTTGCTAAATACAAGAGCTATAAACTTGTAGATTTTATTCAAGAATTACTCCTACAAGATGCACATTATATGTGAAAATCAGCCATATAGCTTTAAAGCTTTAACCACTTATTAATGAAAATTATTTTTGAAATATCCAAAAATGGGGTGATTTGGCCATTTAGCAAAAAAACCTAATTTAAAAACAAAACATTGCAATACATGTTAAAGAAATTAATAAAGAGGTAAATCATAAAAGTAAATTATCAAATACAGAAGTATTAATAAGTGCTATAAATTTGTGAACTTTATTTAAGAATTACTCAATCATTACATTAGAAGGACCTTAACCAGGTTGTGCAGATTGTTGAAAAAACAAACAAGCTTCAATTACATTTGCATGCATAAAATGTCCAATCACTTACATTTGCATGCATAAAATGTCCAATCACTTACATTTGCATGCATAAAATGTCCAATCACTTACATTTGCATGCATAAAATGTCCAATCACTTACATTTGCATGCATAAAATGTCCAATCACTTACATTTGCATGCATTAAATGTCCAATCACTTACATTTGCATGCATAAAATGTTCTGAACAATTTAATGTAAACTTTTCAAAAATCTGCTTAGAGAAGTTCACTTTTGTTTGTGAAGAATATATTTGATGAAATTTTTTAGCGCAGCCAGATTCCAAAGTTCTTCATCCTGCTGATGTAGTGTCTGTCATTGCTCAATTTTGAGTAATGACAAACTCTTACTCAGCAGGAATAGCAATTTTTGGTCTTACCACATAGACAATTTCTAAGAGTTGATCTGGAAACTTTCTTAGGTCTAAGAGGCCCTTTTAACTTGAATACAAGCAGCAATGGCCTTCATAGCCTTGTGATCTCGCTGTATGGGACGGTTACTGTGTGCGTAACCTTCCTTCCTTTTTATGAGCAAGGCAATTTTTAAAATAGCCTATTTACCCCACTTACCTTAAGATAAGTGCTTTGAGCTTTAAAATGCACTTACTTAAGTAGCTCATAGAGGTCTGGTTTAACCCTCAAATATTTGCATGGCAATAATTAGCGTTTTTAAAATATGAAAACACAAAAACAATGACATGCAAAAAACATTCAACAACAAGAGTATTATTAATTACTTTTTTTATAGAGTGGGACATCTTTAAAACTTTAGCATATTTTAGCAAAAAACTGATAAACAAATAACTACATAGTGGCCATATTACCCCATCTGATTGTAGATATTAATCTTATGTATAAAAAAAAAATAATTACTAAAATCAATAATTACTAACATCTTGAAGAACTTGTGGAGCTTGTGCTTTTTTATCATTTTGTTCGACTAATAATGTTAAAGGGACTCCAAACACACCAGTTTCTTAAAAAAAAAAGAATTCAAAAATTAATAAATATTAGTCACATAAGTCACATAACAAGTAACTAAAATCACAAAAAAATTGAAACAAACAAATTGTAAAAATTATTGTAAAAAGTCTTACAAAAAACAACTTACCTTTACATCATCACTAAAACATCAATAAATATCATTAAGATCACATCAACAAATATCATTTAGACCACATCAACAAAATCATTAAGATCATCAAAGAAATATCATTGAGATCATCAGCAAATATCATTTAGATCACATTTATAAATATCATTTAGGCCGCTCAACAATATAGTTGAGGCATTAACAAATATCATTGAGATCATCAACAAATATCATTTAGATCATCAACAAATATCATAGGTCATTAACAAATATCATTTAAATCAACTCAACAAATATCATAAAAACTAACCTTTATATCTTTGTTTAGGAAGAGACTTTCGACGGTTCATTGATATTGAGTATTCATCAAATAAAGCAGTCAACTCCATAAGAGCCAATGATCGAATTTTTATCATGTCTAACTCAGAAAGATCACCAATGCGAGTGATTCCAAGTTCATCACGAGTTAATGTGAAATTCTTAACATTTTACAGAAAAATATATAAGCGATTCAAAGTATATATATAAAAAAAAAGCTTTTAAAGTAAATAAATACAACTAAGCAAATACATTACAACTATATAAATTAGAGACAAAAAGTGCACAAATATAAAGCCCTCAAAATCTCAAAAAGAATTTTGAATTGGAATGCAAATGATGTACTTAGCCAACTGTAGACTAGCAAAATTTTGAGCAAATTTAAATTGAGAAAAAAAACTGAGCAAATTTAAATTGACATTGTCAAAACCTTTAGAGGATGATGGCATAATACAATCCATGCTTGGCAAAGATTTGAGATATAAAAAGAACATATGCAAAAATATTTTACAAATTTTTTTTTAAGGAAAATCTTTTATACATGTAAAAGTAAGTTTTTTATAAATGTAAAAGAAAGCATTTTACATATGTTAAAGAAAGTGTTTTACATATGTTAAAGAAAGTCTTTTATAAATGTAAAAGAAACTATTTTACATATGTTAAAGAAAGTTTTTTACATATGTTAAAAAAAGTCTTTTATAAATATAAAAGAAAGTCTTTTATGAATCTAAAAGTAAGTTTTTTACATGTGTTAAATATGTTACATATGTTTACAAGTCTTTTATAAATGTAAAAGAAACTTTGTTCCAAAACTAAATATAAAAATTATATTTAGCCACAAAGAATAAAGTATATTCTTTGTGGCTGGTGAGCCCTGACGTTCTCTAATGTACACCACAACGACAAAACGGACATATGGTTATTCTGCTAGATGTGGTTACGGTGCTCAATAACCTAATGACTACGCTGACACTCACGCACGCGTTCATTCGGAAGCTCCACAATACATGTCCGATCAGCACTTGCTGACTATGTCCTTGGATCTAAAATCTCACTCCATAGCACATCATTCCACACCAGCACAGGGCAGTAGCTCTTTTGGCTAAGAGTGATGGCTTGTGACCTACAATGACAAATGTGTGCATTTGATCAATTGAAATTCTGTAGGTCTTAAGTCTGGCTCTGATGCGCTAGCCCATAAGCGCAAGAAATAAGTGTGTTTATCTTTCTATTCACCCGATTTGAAAACAAACAAAAACATAACGAGACCATATTAGACGATTAAACGCTACATACTAATTGAATCTTAAAACATTCTACAATCACAGTTTAAATAAAACATTCGTCAATCACAGTTTAAATAAAACATTCGTCAATCACAGTTTAAATAAAACATTCGTCAATCACAGTTTAAATAAAACATTATATTCATGCAGCATAAATTATGCAGCACGCACAAATATTTTACAGAAAATTTGAATATAAAAGAATGAATGAAAAACATTAATGACATTTTTTAACTTGATCAAAATCTTAATCTTAAAAGTATTTTTAGTGGTGATGGTGGTGATGGTGGTGGTGGTGGTGGTAGTAGTAGTAGTAGTAGTAGTAGTATAGTAGTAGTAGTAGTAGTAGTAGTAGTAGTATAGTAGTAGTAGTAGTAGTAGTAGTAGTAGTAGTAGTAGTAGTAGTATAGTAGTAGTAGTAGTAGTAGTAGTAGTAGTAGTAGTAGTAGTAGTAGTAGTAGTAGTAGTAGTAGTATAGTAGTAGTAGTAGTAGTAGTAGTAGTAGTAGTAGTAGTAGTAGTAGTAGTAGTAGTAGTAGTAGTAGTAGTAGTAGTAGTAGTATTATCCCATATTTAGTAGAATTTAATGCAACAAAAGTAGTAAGCTTTAAAATTATTACAAAACATGCTACTTAAACTACTATGAATGTTGCTTTATTTATTTACATAAAGTGTTTTTTCAATGCCAATATAGTTAAACCCAGGACATGTCTGGTTTTACAATTAAAGAAGCCCTTTAATCTATCTTCCTTAACACATCATAATTCAAAGTTGTCAAAAGTTCCAGCTAATTTAACCAAGAAATTCATATGGATATAAAATATAAATTTAAAATTTAGATATGTAATAAATCACATGGTACAAATAGATTTGTAAGTGATCTTTTGTTGTTAGTAGAGGAGAAGTAATCTATTTAATTGGTCTTATTAAGTGGTAACTCTGGTGTTATTAAGTGGTGACAAACATCAAACAAAGCAGCACAAACTAAAAATCCAAAATTTGACTTTGTGTTGTTTGACTTTGACTGTGTTGTTTGTAACTAATAATAGTATTTAGACTTATTTAAAAAACAAAAGAAATCCACATGTAATTTAACTCTTTAGTATTTGATGAAACATATGGCTTTAATATAAAAATGATGTCAAAAATATGAAGAAATTTCTAAATAAATTAAAATAAATTTACAAAAACAGAAATTTCTATGGAAACACTCAGAGACATTTTATTCCAATTTTATACAATATTTTAGACTTTCTTTAAAATATTCTATAGACCAACCTGTTTTATTAGTGTATATAAAATAATATTGATTTTTTTTTAAGAAACTCTTCATAAACTTTGTTCTGGGATAATACAAATTATTAATAACATTATAACATAATAAAACAGTAATAAATATGATATCATTTTCTACTGTTGTCAATTTACACTCACTGCACCGTAACCATACAGTACACCATAACTATACAGTACACCGTAACCATACACTACACTGTAATATTTATTTAAAAACTTTGGCATATAAAATTCACCGAATGGTCACACACAAGCAGTGAACGCCTGAGGGAAAAAATGAAGTACATTAGAATAAAGAACTATTTTTTGAACAAAGCATATTTTGACAGTTGTCAAGACAAAAATAAAGATTAATAGAGAAATATTTAAAAATAAATAAGACAGAAAATTCATCTAAAACAACATTTAAAAATAATAATTTAAAAAAAAAATTGTTTTATAAACACTGATATGAATGAAGATATACAACAAATATATCACCAATTAAAAAACTTATAAAACAAAAAATTGATTACAAAATACAAATAGTTTACAACAATGGAAGGCCTAAGAATGGGAAAAAAACATTAATACTAATGTGTAAACATAATTTGTGTAGTGATTAAGTAATAAACATCTCCTCAGAGTTGTGTCTATTATTACTGGCGTTTGGATGAGGATCAGTACTTATAACTAGTTTAAACGCCACTTATGCTTTACCCCGCAACTTACACCTATTCCATACTGCAGTAAAAAAGGACTCACTACAAATAGTGAAAGCCCAACCATCCCCAAATTATTACACTATACTGTAATCATACACTATACTGTAACCATACACTACACCATAACCATACAGCCATTATATGTAAAATCAAAATACCTAAATAATTCAGCAAATGAATGACTTCAGCATAAGTAAAAAAAAAAAAAACAAGTGTAAAAATTGTAAAACAAACAAACAAACAAAAAAAATCAAGTAAAAAAGGAGTATAAAGTATTATACTAGTAACAAAAAACTGGTAACTAAGCAGTAAAAAGTAACATACTGGTAACTAAGCAGTAAAAAGTAACATACTGGTAACTAAGCAGTAAAAAGTAACATACTGGTAACTAAGCAGTAAAAAGTAACATACTGGTAGAGGTGGAAAAGTAGGTCCCAATAATTTCTCTGGCAAACTTTTATCATCTTTGTTTACGACTGATCCAACTGCCTGTATCAGCATGCATAAAATTTATATAGAAAATTAAAAAAAAATTACAAAATTACAAAAATTGCAAAAATTGTTAAACCCTTAAAAAATATAAACAAACTTAAACAATAAACGTATATATATTTAAAAAAGTATTTTAAATTTGAAAAAGAAATTATATATTCAAAAAATTAAAATAAAATAGATGATATTAAAGAACAAAGATAGAGAGTTTCAAATCCATCTGATTACTGCTTTCAGGTTTTTTTTCTCAGTTATAGAACTAACAATATACACCTAGTTTAGCACTTACAGGGGCAGATTTTGCAAAAAAACAAGCACTTACGAGGACATTTGCGCTATCGGGGACATTTTAGTGTACCCGTTAATTTTTTGTCCCCGTAAGCATGATTTTTTTTGCAAAATAATGTACCTGTAAGAAACTTTTATAGAGAACGAAAAGTATATGCATCGACTAACAAATAGCCTGACTTGCAAGGGAGTACTACTACATCGACTGTGGGTTTGGTTTGGCCAGGCATCAAGGTCAGGCATAAGGTTAGGGTTACAGCAAGGTTTAAATTTGGTTATATTATAGTAATTCATCAATTTTGTAAATAGATGAAGTTAAAAATGAAATGTAATATAAAATAAATAAATAAAAATAACAAAAATAAATATAAAAAATATATTTTTATAATAAAATAACAAGTAATAAAATGTATATATATGTATATATATATTTTTTTGTTATTCACCTCCTCAAGGCCGAGAAGGCCACTACAGACGAGGAGGCTACTTAATAGTGGTTATAACCATCTCTCAACTCTATAACTCCGAAACACGAAGGCCGCTGCGCGGAGAAACAAGTTGAGCGCGGTACTACCAGGATGTGGTGGGGATCGAACTCGGAACCTCTCGCTTATGAAGCGAGTGTTTTACCACTTCACTACTACCACAGATAATCATAATATAATACTTTGCGATAATATTTTTAATAACCACACAAAAGCCCCTAAAATTTTGGAAAATGCAATTAATTTAGAATGCTAAAACATTGCTAAAACAAATAATTTAGAAGTAAGAACTAAATCAGTTGCACCAGTGCAAGTATTTATTATACTAAAAGATCATAAACCAAATTATCAAAACAAACTCCTAAGTAAGCTACTAGTACCTTCAAGAAGTGAACTAGGGCACATTAGTAAAATTAGATTAGAAAAAAATATATATTATTCAAAAAAAATTAAAATTGCAACAGAGGAAAAATACCATCGATATTATAAATTGGTTCTCTAATAATTAGTAATAAAAATGAACGGACATATATATTATAATATAATATTAAAGATTTTATATTAATTCAATATTAACGATTTTTACCCCTTAATTTCAGCAGAAATTTTAGATAAAACAATAGAACTCTAAAAAATCCACACTGAAATTACAGACGAAACTATTTGTCTTATTAAACATTGCAGAAAAACTTAACTCTATTATAACAAGACGTGGAAGAAAAAAACCACACAAAAATGCTTTGATGTAACAAGCGAAAGTTACAACAGAGCAGAAATTTGCAAATGTGTAGGCTTATATATTTTAAATTCCTTTGCTAAAATAGTTCCTTTTAATCAATTAGGCTTGTATCACAATGATGGTATAATAAGAATGCAAAAAAAAAATCAGGGCCTTAACTTGACAAAATCAAAAAAAATACTATTAAAATTTTCAAAAACATTGGCTTCCAAATTGGAATAAACATTAATTTAAAAATTGTGAATTTTTTTGTTATATTTAACCTCTCAGAAAATTTTTATAGGCTTTGTAAAAAAACAAATGATGAATTATCATACAAGCCTTCCCAGGAAGGCTTGTATGATAAATCGTGCGGTTTTCGTCTCGTACGAAAACCACACGAGAATTAATTGTTTTTGTTTAGTGGCTATTATTATCGGCAACAAAATTCAGTAAGTCCAAGCAAAAAAAAAAAAAAAAAAAAAAATTTTTTTATAATGAAAAAAAAGGATGATTTTCCCATATTTTATGTGAATTTTCTTTTAAAGAGGAAAGAGAAAATATGTATGTTCATCTGTTTGTAAAATATATTTGTATAATTACAAGTTCATATCAAGAATTAAATTATATGATTGCGATTTTTAAACTCTGGTAAAATATTAGGTCTTTAAAATTTTAGTTCATGCAAAGCTGTGTACTTTGTTTATAAGGAGCAAATTATTAAAAGTTTGCTTGTGAGAAAGTTACAAAAAGCAAAACAAAAATAATAAACTTACGACTACAAAAGTAATAACACTTTAGTCACTAACTGCATTATAAAAGTAATAAAACTATAATAGTGTTATTACATTTATAAAGCACTTATTACTTTTAAAGTTCATTCTTTGTTCAAACAACATTATTAATTCAAAACATTTATTAAAGTAGAAAAGCATCTAGAAAAAATAAAGCAGATATTCAAATATTAAAAAATTCAGGAACTTTTACAGATCACTTAAACAACCTTATAAAAAGTATAGCATTATGAAAAACGTTACGTAAAAACGCGCATTAATTTTAATATCAACCAATAAAAAAATTTTATTGGTTAATTTTAAAATTAAGGCACGTTTTTACGATCCATTAGTAACGCTTTTCATAATGCTAAACTTTTAATACAATATGTTTTTATAAAGTTGTTTGTCATGTTTTTATAAGTTATTTAAGTTTGAAATATTATTTGAACATCCACTTTGTTCTTCTAGATATTTTTCTATTTCAATTAAAATTTGGGAATACTTATGCTGCTTGAACAAAGAATGAATTTTAAAAGTTATAAGTGCGTTATAAAAGTAATAACACTATTATAGTGTTATTACTTTTGTAATACAGTTAGTGACTAGAGTGTTATTACTTTTCTAATTGTAAGTTTATTGTTTTATTTTTAATTTTTTCACTAACAAATTTTAGTTGATTCTCCCCTTAAAAACAAGGAACACGGTTTTGTATTAACTAAAATTTTGAATACTAGATATTTTTCCAGATTTTGCATTTTGTATTCGCTTAATTCAACCCTTGTTGTTACATTAAAATTATAAAAATAAATTTTACAAACACATTGCAATTTGTATTTTTGCTATCCTCTTAAAAAAAAAGTTTACAAAAAGAAAATCATTTTTTTTATTGAAGACTTCAAACTGTTTTTTTTTTTTGCTTCGCCTTATCTAATTTTGTTGCTGAATGTAACAACCACTCTAAAGAAACAAAAATAAAAAACAGTACACAAATTATTTAAATCATTATTATTTTTTAATTTTTTTCTATTTCAATCTCTTTTTATTTTGTTAGTTTTTTTTTTATTGGTTTTTGAAACTTTTTCAGCATTGATTATTATAAAACTTGCAAACGGCCGTGTTCAAGTTGTCTAAAATAATATACTCGCATGTGGTCATACTAGATGAAAAACCGCACGCCTTTCCTGGGAAGGCTTGTCATATATTAATATAAATTCAGACCATCCCCCTCCAAAGAGTTTTTATTTAGTCTATTATTAATTGAAATCTTCAAATAAATTCCGATTTTAATTAATAATAGACTAAATCAAAACTCTTCTAATAAAAATATTTTTAACTCTTCCATACGTGTGTATGAAGATGCTCTCAAAATAAGCGGATTTAAAAATTTGGAGCTAAAATTTGAAACAAAAATGACAAAAAAAAAAGTGAAAAAGAAATATAATTTGGTTCAACCCTTAGTACAGCAAAAATGTTTCAACAAATATTGGAAAAGTGTTTTTAAAATTTATGGACAAACATTTCCCTCCCTCTAATAAATTACACAAAATTTTCAACAGAAACTATTAAAGTAAGCTATAACTGTACAAAAAATGTTGACAGAATTATAAAAGGCTATATTTTTGCATTGATTAATAAAAATGAATTTCTAAAAGAAAAAAATACTGAAAATAGTAATTGCAAATAAAAAAATAACTACCCTAAGAATGGCAAATGTTTATCAAAAAATATTATGTACAAATGCATTGTTTCCTCTCAAAACAAACCTGATAAACAATATGTTAAACTGGTCATTAATGACATTTCCAAAATATGTATACTATGTTTACAAGAAAAAATTTGAAATTATTACTCATTAGGATCAAGAAAATTGACTAAACAAGAAATCTGAATTAATATCTAAAAACCTAAAACGGATTAATAAATCTTTATGATGCGAGATGTTTTTCTTTCTATAGATTTATTATTTAAACTCTTTAAAATAATTTCTATAGATTTATTTTTTAAACTATTAAATAATAAATTTATAGAAGTTATTTTAAATTAAATTATATAATTAAATACTTTTATTTCATACAGTCTTTTTTAACTCTACTAATAATATTAGTATTATCATTAATTTACCTTTGTTTTAGAAATCTTATTAATATTATTTATGATGATAGTGATTTCATTGTAGTAATAGTTTTATGGTTAGGGGTTGTCCATAAAGTATGTACGCTTTTTTTTAGTTGACCTCCCCCCCTCCCCCGCATTTTGCAATACACGTTTTGCAATACACTTTTTTGAGTACCCTCCACCTCTCTAAAAGTACCTATGCTTTTAACGTTTTAAATGTTTTTTTATTCATACTATGATCATTATTATTATCATTATTATTATTGTTATTATATTATTACTGTTGCAATTATTATCTTTATTTATTAGCGCTTTACTTTCTTTTCTCTCATTTTTTTTCTTCCTTCTCTTTATTTTATTTTAAATTCTTTCTATGTTTTATTGAGTTTTTTTTTGTATATATATATATATATATATATATATATATATATATATATATATATATATATATATATATATATATATATATATATATATATATATATATATATATATATATATATATATATATATATATATATATATATATATATATATATATATATTTATATATATATATATATATATGTATATATATATATATATATATATATATATATATATATATATATATAT